TCATGTTAAATGTTACATTTTTGCTTCTTCTTTTCTGTCCGGAAATGGTACGCCCTTTCCCATTATAAATCTGTTTCCTTTTTTTTCTACGTTTGATTCGAACCCGTTTAAGAGAAGCATCATTAAGCTTGGATATTTGGATTTCATCAATATCGAACCACCGTCTGTTTTTGCGCAAAGAAAGTCTCTGCTACTCTCTCCTACTCACTTAATGGGATGCAGGTTGAAGGAGAGGCCGCCTGATTATGTAGATCTATTATCTAAGCCCATTTATTTGATATGAACAATCCTCTCCGCATTGTTAGGACCTTTAGTCGCGGAGGCGCGATCCGTAATACGATGGACGATTACCCGATACGGTTAGGCGCCACCTCGCTTAAATTTCGTTGTGGCTCGCGGCCTGACTCTGCGGCTCCAACCCTCACAACTTGATTTTCTGAGAGCGAACCGACGGGCTTTAAGGGAATCGTCCTTCGAATCATCCCACGACCGTGCGTCTCACCACCTAAGGAGACGGCCATTTTTTGAACCCCGCGACGTTTTCCGGTCCGAATTACCTGAAAATCCGCCAATATGTCGCGTTTCTTCTACGGTAGCGGTAGCGACAGCGATTCCAGCTCGGATGAGGAGGAGCTTCTCACCGATCACGAGGAGGAGGAGAAGTCTGAGGAGGAATCCAGCGAGGAGGAGGAGGAGACTTCGGAGGAGGAGTCCTCCGATGACGAGGGTGAAACCGGTGCCAATCGTTTCTTGAGGGATGCATCGGAGAGCGAGGAGAGCGAGGATGAGGAGAAAGTAACGGTTGTGAAGAGTGCCAAGGATAAGAGACTGGAGGAACTTGAGGGCATCATCAAGTTGATCGAGAATGCCGAGAAAATCAACGACTGGGCTGTTATCTCGTCAGGTGCGTTGGATATAGTCTGAAAAATATGGCCGTGTAGGGATAACTTTGGTACATGCATACTGACTCAAAGGATTCAGAGTTCGATAAGCTTAACCGCCAGGTCGTGAAGGTCACGCAATCGGGCCCAGTTCCCAGAATCTATGTCAAGGCCGTTGCCGATCTCGAGGATTTCGTGAACGAGGCTGTTACGAAGCAGAAGTCATCCAAGAAATCGATGAACGCAAGCAACTCCAGGGGTTTCAACGCGGTCAAGCAACGTATCAAGAAGAACAACAAGGAGTACGCCACTCATATCGAAAAGTATCGCAAAGATAAGGATGGCTACATGGAAGGCAAGGAAGAGGAGGCTAAGCCCGCCGTCGTGGCCCCTCGCTTGACCAAGGTTGAGCGCGTTGTCGAGGCACCCGCAGCAGCAACCTCTACTGATGATGGTTTCGCTACTGTTGGCCGTGGTGGCAAGACCCTGCAGTACACCCCAGAGAGCATTCTCAAGCACCTCCGCGTCATTGTCGAGTCCAGAGGAAAGAAGAACACAGACCGCCTCGAGCAGATCAAGACCATGGAGAAGCTCCTGGAGGTTGCTCAGACTCCTTACCAACGCATTCGTGTCTACCTCACTCTTCTCTCTACCCGCTTCGATATTAGCTCTACGTCTTCCGCCAACTACATGAGTGTCGATCAATGGAAGCTTGCTGAGAAGGAACTTGCTGCTCTGCTGTCTGTCCTCGAGACCAACCGCGACCATGTTGTCACTGAGGGAGCTGAAGAGTGGGAAGATGATGAGAAGCAACCCCAGGTCAAGCCAGGCGAGACCCTGCATATCCCAGGCAGCATCGTGTCTCACGTTGAGAGGCTCGACGACGAGCTGACTCGGTCCTTGCAACACATCGATCCCCACACTGCTGAATACATCGATCGTCTGAGCGATGAGAAGCAGCTGTATACCAACCTTGTCCGCGTTCAGGCCTACGTTGAAGGTCTTGTCCAGGCTGAGAAGAGCGACCCGCGTCAGGACAGCCTCAACCGGGTTGTCATGCGCAGGCTGGAGCACATCTACTTCAAGCCTTCTCAGGTTGTTACAATCCTGGAAGAGGGTACTTGGAAGGAACTTCCCTCCGAGTTGGACTCCAAGGTTACTCCTCGTGGAAACGCGGGTGACGTGACAGGACTGGTTCAGACCCTGTGCAACTATCTGTTCACATACAGTGACGGTATCATCAGGGCCCGTGCCATGCTCTGCCAGATCTATTTCCTTGCCTTGCACGACCAGTATTACCGTTCTCGTGACTTGATGCTCATGTCTCACCTTACCGAGAACATCTCCAACTTCGATGTCAACACCCAGATTCTCTTCAACAGGACCCTGGTTCAAATCGGTCTGTGCGCATTCCGTGCTGGCCTTATCTACGAGGCCCAAAATACCCTGTCCGAAGTGTGTGGCAGTGGCCGTCAGAAGGAACTTCTCGCTCAAGGTATCATCCTCCAACGTTACTCTACTGTTTCTCCTGAGCAGGAGCGTCTTGAGCGTCAGCGTCAGCTGCCCTTCCACATGCACATCAACCTTGAGCTCCTTGAGTGCATCTACCTTACCTCGAGCATGTTCTTGGAAGTCCCTCTCATGGCTCAGACCTCTTCTTCACCCGAAATGAAGCGCCGTATCATCTCAAAGACCTTCCGTCGTATGTTGGATTACAATGAGCGTCAAGTATTCACTGGCCCTGCAGAGAACACTCGTGATGGTGTCATTATGAGCGCTAAGTTCCTTGCTGCGGGTGACTGGAAGAAGGCTGCAGAGATGCTCAACTCCATCAAGATCTGGGATCTGATGCCCCAGCCCGATAAGATCAAGGAGATGCTGTCTCAGCAGATCCAAGAAGAGGGCCTGAGAACTTACCTTTTCACATATGCTCCCTTCTACGACAGTCTTTCTATCTCCACCCTGTCAAGCATGTTCGAGCTGTCTGAGAAGAAGATTGCCGCCATCATCAGCCGTATGATTTCTCATGAGGAGCTCGCCGCTGCTCTTGACCAGGTCAACGATGCCATCGTTTTCCGCAAGGGTGTTGAGCTGTCGCGTCTCCAGTCCCAGATCGTCACTCTTGCCGACAAGTCGATGAACCTTCTGGAGGCCAATGAGAAGACTCTCGAGCAGCGCACTCAAGGCATGGCCAACGCTTTCCAGCGCGATCAGGGCGCCGGCGCCCGTGGAGGCCGTGGCCCTGGACGTGGAGGCCAAGCCCGTGGTGGACCCAGACTGCCAGGCGGCCAACAAGGCCGTCGGCCCGGTGGACAGCAATTCAGCGGTGGTGCATTGGGCGGAGCGATCAAGGCATAAAATTGTTTGTAATGGCATCCTTTTGTTTTCATGGTTCTAATGCTCCTGGAATTTAACTACGTATGATCCCATGTGCTCTTATTATTGACGAATGTTTTGTCAATCTCTCAATTATTCCTTTCTTGATACATATGGCATTTTCTCTTTTACAGATAAATCCCCTTTTAGAATTGGACACAGCGTGGTCGAGAAATAGGTGCTCGAAGCAAAGCAAAAGCAAGGAAACGGACGTAAACATAGACATATTCGGACCAGGAAACAGTTACTCTAGGTATGTTTATGTGGAAATACGAATATGATGATATATTTATAATTTTCATCCGTATATCAGCCCGTGGTAAGACTAGCGATTGGATCTTGGGGGTCGCCCGAATATATATATTTCCCGAGGACATGGTCCAGAATGGCAGCGTCAATACCCCAGACTTCGCCAACCCATCTGGTAATTTGGCTGTTCCTCTATTAATCTTTATGCGTCCACAGCCTCAGATGCTATTTAGGTTTCATCGTCTGTAAAAATGAAGTTTCGAATTGGTTGAACGAAACCTTTGGGTGTTATCCACTCGATCGCCATAACACCCATGAAATAGAACATCTCTCCTGATCAAAAAGAATAGCTTTCCACTAGACAACAGCATTATCCACTATCGTCAAGTAGATTCTGTGGTGACCAATACTCATTCTCTTCACCTTGGCCATCAAGCCAGACGAGACCGTCCGCCAGAAGGTCGTCAATAACAGTCTGCGCCCGAGCCTTTTCCCAATTTAAATTTATCTGCAACATGGATATACTCACGTAGCCAAGGATCTGAATAACCTCGAGCACTGTGGCTTGGTCTGTATTAAGCTCCTTCGGGACCGATCGGATGTATTGTTTGCTACCAACGCGGACAATCGAAAATCCAGAGCCCAAGGGTTCCAAAGCCTTCACGGCACGTAGAACATCATCACTAAGTTACAAAAATAGCAATTAGTATACCTTCTGTACTGCATGGTTCGAGGCCTCATACTCAGTTACTTCCAACCCGCTCCCTATAGCCTTGCCTTTACCTACACGTTTACGGCACTCCTCAACGCCTATCAAGCCTCCATTCTCACTCCTTGTTTCCCGGCAAAGCTCTACTATACGGACGGCAAGCTCGAAGTAAAAATCGTTCATATCCCCGCCCATAATTTGGGTCCAAAAGCTTGCCCCTTCACCCATTCCCTTCCGACCATTCTTGCCTCTGACGTTACTCGCTGCAAGTGGGTCAACGCCGATCGCATTGCACATTCGAGCAAACTCTGCACGGAATGTTGGATTTGACTTTATCGTCGAGCTATGCTCTAATGCGAATGTGTGGAGTAATGACTGGAACACGGATAATTGTGCCTGCAGGGAGGAGAGATGCGTGGAGCGTAGATTGGCGCCATGATTGGCGTAGGATTGGCTAGCCTGGGAGCGGTTTGCGAAGGCGCCTAGCCCGACACCTCGACGCGATGCCATGGCAATTTATAGTCTAGGATAGGTATTAGGCAGAGAGGAGGGACGTGGGGTATGGAGAACATCACGATCAGCGTCATGTCATCGGTTATCGCAGCGCCTTATCGGAGGCTGTCAGCTGACATGTATCTGCCCTAAGCAGATCACCCAGAAGGGGAAGGTCGCTGTGCCAATAGAGGCTAGCCGTATGCGGGATAGTGCGGTGACCCACCCACAAACTCGTTTTTCTTCAACTCGAAGCAATTTTCTTTTCGAACTTCTTCCAGTACGACAGCATTCGCCAACCGCCCACCTCGCGAACTCAACGGACCGTCGCAATGGCCTCTACTGCTACGTATGATACCCTTTAGCGGATACCCTTTCGGCTGCTTCGCTTTATGAGCTTGTAAGGGTTGAAGTTATAGTCGTCCTTCTCGCTGGAGATGCTGCGATCAGAAACGGTCGCTGGGCACCAGCTCGATTTTTCCCGTGACCTGTCTCCCTTCATGAACTTGCGCCTCAGTAATATGAGCACGAGATGATGGATGGGTTTCACAACGGTCTGGGGTATTGAGGTTGAAAGCCATAGCTGCCTTCTCCTTGAAAGAAATTGTTGCGAGCTGCGTTTCCATCCTCTGAGTAGACCCGAAATGGTTTGACAAGGATGGGACGAACGGCGTCAACACTGTTTTCCTGAGCGTTATGTTCGGGGCCTTGTCGGATGAGAATCACATGGTTGTCGCTGCCATCGCTGTGTTGTGAACTGATGCTGAAAATGCATCACTAGTAGCAACGTTCCACTATCGGCTGGCAGGCCCTTCATGTCTCACTGATTAAATATATGTCGTCGAGTGCTTCTTTATTTCTTGCCTTCAGTTGAGAATGCCGCGCTATAGCTGCAGTTCTTACACTCGGCGAATATATGCATATTTTGCATGGACAGACTAAACTGACCTTAACAGCACCGTCCCCACTCAGGACCATGTCCTCGTCCCCGAGACTCTCCTGAAGAAGCGCAAGAGCCAGGAGCAGGCTCGCGCTGTCGCCCGTGAGGAGGCCGAGAAGAAGAAGGCCGTGAGTATTCATCTTTTTATTTTCCTTTCCTTTTCACATAAGCGGGTGATGATAGCAACCACTACGCGACTAGACCATCGGTCGATGCTGTCGCTTCTGTTAACCATCTTTCGGGGCTGACGTTACACACTACCACTATCTTTATTATGAATAACTGGGTAGAATTCTCGCTAATGGAGAATGTATAGGCCAACAAGGAGAAGCGTGCCACCATCTTCAAGCGCGCCGAGTCCTACGTCAAGGAGTACCGCGATGCTGAGCGTGAGAAGATCCGCCTTGGCCGCGTTGCTCGCAAGGAGGGTAACTTCTACGTTGCCGATGAGCCCAAGCTTGTCTTCGTTATCCGTATCAAGGGGTGAGTTTTTTGTGGCTTGTCCATAGTTGTATATCAAGCGACTAACTGTTGGAACAGTATCAACAAGATCTCTCCCCAGCCCCGCAAGATCCTGCAGCTCCTCCGTCTGCTCCAGATCAACAACGGCACCTTCGTTCGCCTTACCAAGGCTACCCAGGAGATGCTGACCATCATCAACCCCTACATTGCCTACGGTTACCCCAACCTCAAGAGCATCCGTGAGCTCATCTACAAGCGTGGTTACGGAAAGGTCAACAAGCAGCGTGTTGCCATCTCCGACAACCAGATCATCGAGGAGAACCTCGGCAAGTACGGCATTGTCTGCGTTGAGGATCTGATCCACGAGATCTACACCGTTGGCCCCAACTTCAAGCAGGCCAACAACTTCCTCTGGCCCTTCAAGCTCTCCAACCCCACTGGTGGCTTCCACAAGCGCAAGTTCAAGCACTTCATCGAGGGTGGTGACTACGGTAACCGTGAGGAGAACATCAACGCCCTCATTCGCCAGATGAACTAGATTCGCCTACACTGGGCGATTGGTGTTCGTACTGGGACATGGACTTTGACGGCATGATGGTCTGAATTAGTACAAAAATGAAAAGCTTGACGCACTCTATAGCTTGATACCCTAAACGTTTTGATTTCTTTTTGGTAATCTTCATGTCCAGTTAACCTTGTAGAGTTTTCAAACCTTGTACCTTCATTAACCACATTTACTTTCCCACCCCATCCCCGCCATAGAAACAGCAACGATGTTTCGAAGAGTTTTCTCACTTAGCGACAAGGATTGCACATCCATGAGCATCGGGATATATACACTTGGAATCTTTCGGGAACCAACATGAAGTGACATGTTAAAAGTGAACTCCGTATACCCTCCTGTCTTTCCGAGTCGAATGTTGCACGACCTTTGTTTTACATCCAATCTATTCAATCCAAGTCTCAACGTAACTACATTTAAACTCCGGGGTCCTCAATAACCCCTAAAAGTATAACATCCAAACCTAATGAACATCAACCCGACTCAACCTCAAAATGCTGTCTCCCCAACTCCGCCGTCTCAATAGTTAGTCAATTCCTCCACAAGTAAAGAGGTAAGAACCCCCCCCCCCCCAAAAGTAGCCAATATATACCAAATAGCCCGCAACGCCTCTTCGTACACTCTACAGATAGCATCCCTCAGCGACAGAGGGACATCCACAGTCCTAAGACGAGGACTGAACCCGACCGCCTCATTCGCATTCCGCAACAAGGCCACCTCCCCCGGCAGCGACCCGACTGACGCAATCAAGCTTGGAAATACACTACTGAAGGTAGTCGCCCCGACAGCGAGCCCGATGAGCGTACCAAACAGCCGAAACGAGACTAAGACGCCCACAGCCAGACCCTAGTCTTCTGCCGTCGGCGCACTCGCCTGCATTGGGATAGGCGGGACCGTGAAGATAGTCCCGATGCCGGGTACCCGCGATGACTTGGACGCTGGCTGTCATGGCGAGGGGGGAGGTACTATCCCCGAGAGCGAAGAGGCCGACACCCACGCGCGAGGAAGATCCACTCTGTCCAGACTTCCCAGCGGTAGTGTCGGAAGTAGTCGACTGTCCAGGCTGCGATGCCTGTGAAGGCCATGAGGACGCAGCAGAAGGGGAGGATGGAGATGGCTGATTCCAGCGGTGTCTCGAGGTGTACGGTTTGGAAGAATAACGGGAGGTAGGTTAGGAGTGTGTAGAGCACCATGCCGTGGATGAAGCTTCCAATGAGAGCCATTTGGGCCGTTTGTGAACGGAAGATCCGGTAAGGGAAGATGGGCTCTGCTGGACGGGCTTCGTAGAGCGTGAAGATGAGTAGAGTCATTGCCCCGATCACCAGGGGGAGGATGGTTCGCCATGAGCCCCATGGGTACATGTTTCCAGCCCAGCTTAGCGGTAGTGCGAACAGAGTGCTTCCAGTTAGGAAGAGTAGCATGCCTATCCAGTCCATGCGGGCGAGTTTCGTTCTTATACAATGAAAGTAGATAAGTAACTTGAGTACTTTATCTTTTTTCTTAGTTCGGAAAATGTTCATATTTAACCAGAGTACCGATTTTCGTATATGCTCAGGATTAAAAATGCAGACTAAAACTAAAACTCTCTAAGGTATTTACTAAATAACCTGAAGTTCATCTGGGAGTAACTAAAGCTGCGGGAATATATGTACTAAGAAGTGAATAAATGGTCTAGAGGGTATATGGAGTACTACTTATGTACTGCTCTCACAAAAGTGGGGACATCTGAATTGGATAACAGAATCTCACTCGCAGCAAAACATTCGACTTATGCACAGATGACCCGAGATAGAACATGAACACTCATGAAAAGGGTTCAGTATGCAAATAGACCTCAGCGCCGCCTCTCAACGCCCGCTTTTGCGCCTCAGCAGCCGCATTCCGAACGTCATGTAGCATGGATGCAGGACCGCACGCGAAGATAGCGATCCTGTGGCCACTTATTGTTGACGTAGCTGTATTGATTATCTGAGGGAGATTAGGCCGAGGACCATGTAGAACTGTGCTCACGTGCTGGTCTGTTGCTGCAGCATCACTTTCTTTCTCCGACAAGGCAGGCTCAACCTCATCGATGATGTCGTTGGATGGCTCTTTGGCTCCTGGTGCAGACACTGGTGTTTGGCCATGCTCCAAAGAGGTGTCATGAATGGATACAGATATTCTTTTGGCTGGTATGTCGTACATGGAGACCCTATCCTCAATCTCCTCCCTGTACCACTTGGCTACGTCGGTATTCCGTGTGGCGAAAACGACTTGGATATCTCGTTGTTGGAGATCGGGTATATTCCCATACACTCTAAGAGCTTCTTCGACGATAGCTAGAGAAAACCCACCGCCGGAGCCACCCGCGATGACAAGAACAGTATCGAATTCGGCGGGAGCAGCAGTATCAGATATCCCGCCATAAGGCCCTTCTAAAAACACGGTCTGGGAGAATACGGGGCTTTTAGCGGCTATCTTTGCCAGGCGTGCCGTGATGCCGTGGTGGGGCTTGATGTAGAACACGATCTCAGATGCCTTGCCGACCTTGTCCGGATCATGCGATAGAGAGCAGATGGTGAACGGGTGCGCTGTTAGGCAGTGCAAGCCTAGCTGTGGGTTTACGAATCGAATGAAGACGTGCTGGCCTGGCCTCCAGGACATAATTGTCGGGATTCTGATGCGTACAAAGCCGCAAGGGAGGAGGTCAATTGTAGCTGAGTGACGGCCGTTGATGAGATGCGTGCGGGTCCATGCTGCAAAAAGACTGAAGAGATATATTGCGCCTCCGGCAACAAAATAGTCCCTACAGTGGTTAGCGGGCTGTATGTTTTCGGATATAGAAGAGCTTACCAAGAAGTAAGGCGGAAATCACAGTGAAGGAAGAAAAAGAGAAGGAAGAGCAGTGCAACTAGGAAGTGTGTTGCCTTGAAAAATTCATAATACCGGTTTCTATATTTAATTAGTGATGTTCGACGCTTGATAGGTGTGAACTTACCGAATAGATGGCAAGGACATGAATGTGAGATACGCCTGTGGAATTAAGGCCGCAACTCCCGTCCAGTAGACCACGCTGGTGTTCCATTTCTCGACCATCTGCCCTTTCCAGATATTGAAGACTATGAACGGAAAGGTATGTATTAAAGCCAGGACAAACATGGCATAACTGGTCCAATAGTGGTAGACCTAACCCGTTAGCCATACTATATAGTCCTAGCCTTTGTTAACATACCTGAAGCTTTTCATGAGACACTCCAGTCAATGCTGATATAAGATTGGCTTTGGCACCGAGAGCCCTGCGCTGGTTAGCATCGGATATTGGGCAAGGGCTCAGGTACCCACAGCACAAAAGGCAGCAATCCCAACGCCATCCATCCAGTTCGAGTTGCGATAGGCGGACTATTTCCATAAGACACTGTTCCATCTTTAGAGTTGGGCCAGTAGTACGGTTTAGGCCCGAGTGTCATGGCTTATCTGCATCAGCAATATGAAAACCATTGAGCGAACTGGGTGTACCAACCAAAGAAAAAGACTGTGCCTACAATACCCAGAAGAATAACACCCAACGAAGGAGAGCAATATCGAACTGAAGGTAGTTCATACCCTTTGTATGCGAGGTATCGCCCAATGGCCGTTGTTTTGCGCCATATGCCGCTTCGTTTTGCTCGTACCGGTGCATACTTCGAGAGAAAATGAACGATTGTAAAGAACCCGATAGTCGCACAAAGAAAATATACTGTGTTTAATGAATAAACGTGGTCTGCTTCGTACCTGCAACGGGTCCAATCATCAGCAGGACATTTCGAATGTTGGCCTAGAAAGGAAAAATACCAGTATCTCCAGTACCCTGACCGATAGGCACATTGCTCTGGTGTCATTTTGCATGTATCGGCCCTGGACGAGTGGAACATGACCGGCATATCCAGCCATGGCAGGCCGCCGCTGGACTTTTCATCCATGGACATCATCGTGAAGGTTGCACACCACGAATCTCATAAGTATGAGAGACCAGGTTTGTTTGTACCGATAGTTATTCAGATGCCTGCACCAACGAGGGAGGACTTCGTCAACAGATTTCTCGCTTTTTTAAAGCGTTCCAATCAAGGAAAAGATGGGCAATAGAGTGCCGGAAAAATGTCAGATAAAAATCTTCAAGATGAGCTGTATCGGAGACGTGTCAGATGGTAAGTTCCTCCACCCTCTAAACTCACTTTAGCACCAGCATGATTGCACCATCAACCCTAGACTGGGGATGTGTCACCGACGCATGCATTTACAATCCTCATCGCAACTGCCCGCAGCCATGTTAGGGTTGCAACATTCCTGAGCTGCTGATTGGCCGGAAGAGGCTGGGGATGCTCGCAATTGAGCAAATTTCTGGATTTAGCGTCGTGGTGTGTGTCCCTGCCCAGATTTACATGCCGATCAAGTCAATTAAATCTCACGCACAGATACGCATGCAATTCTTTGAGTGAGCACATTTGCGTTGGATTCAATTGCCTAATATTTGTGTTTGCAATTTTGAGAGAACTCTAATGTCACATCATATTCGATTTCAGACGAACCCTATACGGAACTACAACTCGAGAGTAAAAGACACGGGTTTCAAGAAGTCAATTTATGCAATCATCGTAATCGTCGTGGAATTGAAAGCCTCATAACATGCCAAAGAAAAAGATGGAGGGCAAACAATAGGAGAACGAGAAAAAAAAAAGAGACATCTTTTATCCGAACATATCAATTTAAATCCATGCCCCTTCAAGCTTAGCGTTGTGGTTAATTTGTTGATACCGACAGTTCCGTCGTGGTTGCCGTTGGATATGGGCTCTTCTCCACCGACTCAACTCCACTGCGACCCCATAACCCGTGGTCTTTCAGAGCTTGGTATCCTCCCCGAAGGCTGTCAGCCTCGATCCCCTTGGCCCGCAGCACACTGGTGGCCACTCGGGCTGTGTCTCCATTGTAGCAGATCACCAATACGTGGTGGGACTCCAGCTTCGTGATTACGCTCGGATCCTTGAACATTGCTTCTAATTCCAGCCACTGTGCCTCTAGTACACCGGGGTCCGAGAACGGCTTTGCTGTATGAGAGTCGAGACTCTGCAAGGGAATATTGACCGAGCCGGGAAGATGCCACGAAGCAAAGTCTGCCGTGGTTCTCAAGTCTAGGACGCCGCACAGGGGCCTCAGCTTGATGTCACTTAGCAAACATTCCGACAAAACGCTGGGGGTATTGTAAAAATGCGTGAAAAGAACTACTGGGCTTCGCTCCCAGCTCTCGTCGTATCGATATAGATCAACTTTGGTAAGTCCCTGGCGGTGAATTAGTAAATGAGACAGTGAGACTCAGTGAATTTGAACTCACTTCATTTTGAATGGGGTGGAACTTGTGAGCGCCCAATTTTTGGAAATACTCCCCAATGTATTGATATGGCAGGTCACAACATAAGAAGACACAATGAATGGAACCGTCAGGTCCTGCAAGGTCGGACAAGGTACCAGCTGCCTTGCGCTTTTCCAACATCTGAAAGAGACCTTGCAGGTTGAATCCAGATGAAGGGCCACAGACAATGCCTTCACGACAAAGGTCCAGCGACAATGAAAATGAGTCCGACGAAGTGACTTCCTCAATAACATCGACGGCTGCTTTCCAGGGGAACTCCACGGGTTTCATCAGGGCGAACGACCTTGGGCCGGGAACACGATCGCCAGGGGCTGTGCACACTCCCAGACGGAGCACTGATGGCTTCGCTTCCTTGAAGTATGTGCCCAATCCGGTCATTGTTCCGGATGTTCCCATGCCTGCACAAAGAACATTTATTTCAGGGAGTTGTTTGTAGATCTGGGGCCCCGTCCAGCGGATGTGTGATTTCCAGTTGTTGTCGTTCTCGTATTGGTTTGGGTTGAGGACGCTGTCTGAATCGATTGCCCTCCTTCGGGCACTCTGGATACCGCCTCGCTCGTCATACGGTTCGGGTTGGGAGGGACCACCAAAAAGAGTGATATTCAGCCCAAAAAATTGCATCAGCTGGAGCTTGGCCTCGCTTGTTTTATTGCTCAGGAATGCACGCGTGTCTTGAATGCCATGCATGACTCTGGCAATCATAGACATGGAGATCACCGTGGATCCCGAACTGTACTCGATAATAGTATTTGTTTTGCCGGGTGTCACACTTGTCTCGAGCATGTTCATGGCTACATTATTAGCGCATGTCTGTTGAGTATTCTGTATATGGTGTAATATACGTACCTGGCATTGCCTTGACATTGTTTGCTGGGTGCATCGTCATCATTTTGGCATAAATTCGTACCCCATCCTGATAATAAGGATTCAGATGTTCGGGAAGTTCAACTAGAGGTAGTGGAGGTTGACAATCTGGATCAAAGTACTTCTTGAGGGAGTCACGCCCGAAGTATACATTGCGTTCGTTGAGATTGGTCATCTTACTTGAATGGATGATACCAAAAATGAAAGGAATGTCGGCCAGTGGATCTATAACGCAGAAGAAAATGCAAGGAGGGACAACCTCTAAGTTATACTCCTGCAGAATGCATAAACCCCTCCTTGACGAAATCTCTTGCATTTGGCTTTAGCAAACCAGACTGCTACGACATCAAGGGTTACGACCCACCCGCATGGCGTTATTTTTCTCGATCTAGAAACATAATATTACTTTTGAGGAAATGACTGACCTGGAAAGGCGGCTTACGACAATGAAGATCGTATCCGCTTGGTCTGAAACGTGGATATTGGCTGGATAATGCATCAGCCGATGCTGGATGGCATTATGGAGTCACATACATTGGGTAGGAAATAGTATGCAACCCGTACATATGGAAGAGAATTCTTTCCCCCAGGGTGCGAGGACAAGACAAGATCTACATGGCCATTAAACTCAATGCCTCCCAAAATTGCTTCGTTACCAGTCATTGTAATACTCATCACTACCAGTCCATTAGCTCGAGGCTGGTGAAGACCAATCCAGGGGCAGAAGTCACTCACAAGGTCCCCTGGCCGGGGTGCGACAGACATACAAAAAGCACGCAGGTCCTCACAATCTGCAAGCTTGCTATCAGGTTCTGGACTTGTTGTTTTCTTGGCGAAAGGCCTGTGTGAGTACCTTGATGAGTCCTTTTGAGCAAGTTGTGGAACACTCGCGCTGATCATTTCCTTAGCCCTAACCGACTAGCGGCAGCGTTTCATTTTTGCCCTTCTCAATCCCGTCAACGGAGCTGAAATTGATGATTCGTCATTTTTATAATCATGGACTACTTTATTTTGCTGCAAAGCGATCTTCACTATTTACATCTGAGGTCCCGCTCGCTTAGAATTGCCCAGAATATGGCTCCGATTTAGGATGGCCGTATTCTTCGTCGTTTAAAGGCATGTGCCGGTTCTCGTCACTATACCTCACTTCCCCCGCCCGATAGCTTCGAAATACTTCTGAGCACCATGTCAGGAGGAGTACTCAATTCAGACAAGCCCCCAAGCTCGTCAGACTCCTCGGGGACGGCTGTTGTAGAGACCGATGGGGAGACGAAGACACCCCATGTCTTTAATGAACAGACAAATTATGTGCCGAAAAGCACAATTATAACGGTACGTATACTAGTAACCACAATAAGCGCTATCTTCAGCTGACAATGCTGTCAGATATTCTTAGCATGCTCGACAGTCGACCTCATAGCATTGATGGACCAGACCACTCTGGCGTCCAGTTTGTCAATCATTGGAAATGCCTTGGATGCCAGTGATAAAGCCTCTTGGATATCTGGAGGATACTTTGTGTAAGTGATCAACTAATATGTGTTACCTTTGCGGGATGCTAACAACAAGTAGCACCTCGACCTGTTTCCAACTCATATATGGCCGCCTTTCAGACATATGGTCTCGCAAACTCGTCCTGTTCGTCGGACTTGGCATCTTTTTCATCGGCTCACTGGCGGCATCGCTTTCGCAGACAGCCACGCAGCTTATAGTCTTTCGTGCTTTTACTGGTGTAGGTGGTGGTGGGTTGATGACTGTGGCTCAGATGATTGTTAGCGACGTGGTTCCGCTCCGTGAAAGGGGCAAATACCAGGGAATCCTGGGTGCAGTAGTAGCAATCGCCAATGGAATTGGTCCTGTAATTGGCGGTGCATTATCCTCCATCAACGAGGATTCATGGAGATGGATCTTCCGACTGAATCTCCCCCTCACAGCAATCACAACCCTCTGCGTGCTGTTCTTCATGCCTCTACGGAAGGTAACAGGGGACTGGAAGATGAAGCTCAAGGCAATTGATTTCGTCGGTGCATTTCTCGCATTAGGCAGTACAGCTGTCCTCCTTTTGGGTTTAACGTGGGGTGGTGGTGAATACCCTTGGGCTTCGGCCCATGTCATAGCCACGATTGTGGTAGGTTTTGCCGTGGCCGTTGGGTTCGTACTCTGGCAGTGGAAAGGAGCAACATACCCGCTCGTACCGATGCATATATTCAAATCTCGGATTGTGAATGGTGCGTGTCTGACTATGTTTATTAACGGGTGGAACTTCCTCGTCCAGGTTTACTATATCCCAACCTTCTATCAGCTGGTTTTCGGGTATTCGACTGTGAAAGCTGGCGCGATGCTTTTGCCTGTAACATTGATGCAGAGTATGTCTCTTTCATATTCCTTATCTGGAAAGTTTCAACTGATGAAGATACCAGCTGTTAGTAGTACCGTTTCTGGCCTTGTTGTACACTGGGTAGGCCGTTATAGGGAGTGTATTCTCTTCGGTTGGATGATCTGGGCCATTGGACTGGGCTTGTTCTCGACTCTGGATCAATCATCCGGCTTGGGGAAACAGATTGGTTATGGCCTCTTGACTGGTGCTGGGGTGGGAAATACATTGCAACCGTAAGTTCTGGATATGAGCAATGTGCACCGGATACTGACCTGCCCCAGCGCCCTGATCGCCGTCCAAGCAGGAGTTGAACGGAAAGATATGGCAGTCGTGACCTCATTTCGAAAGTACGCTTACCACAATCCCACATCAATTAACTAAATTGCTGGAAGATAAAACAGGCTAACAAACACAGTTTCGTAAGGAACCTTGGTGGCACACTCGGTCTCGCCATCGCCGGAACCATCATGTACGTACCGACGACCTGACTTAGACAACGGAACACCAGCTAACGCTTGATTTGCGAATAGAAACAACCTAATCACAAGCTCGATCTCCTCGCTGGGCCTCACGCAGTCTGAAACCCGCTCTTTCCTGTCGAGCCCGCAAAACTACCTCTCCAAACTGCCCCAAGAAGAAGCAGAACATGCCCGCTCCCTATTGATTCCGGCTTACCGAAAGGGGTTCCGGATTATATTTCTGATCGGCGCCGCATTGGCTGCTTTTGCGTTCGTTTTGGCTTTTTGGCTGATGCCCCAGGTGAGTTTGAATCGGGCGGACGATGAGAAGTTGAAGGAGGAGGGGAGGAAGAGGGTTAAGGGGGAGAGAAGCAGTGATGAGGAGGTAGTTGGCGAGGAGAGAAGATCATAGACCGAGTAACTGGTTTGGAGATCTTTTCTTTCCTCACTTAGATTTCATTCTGTCATAGACTTGAAATAGACATTTCGATCTACTGCATTACATGTCTAAATAGATACTTTTGTCTTAACGAACTTCGCCTTTCCCCTCCAGTGCAACTCAACCCCAGATAGGTTCGTTAAATCCAAGTCGTCGGGATTTTGCAATTTAACCGTCCATTGACTAAAAGGTGTTGGTACAGCATGTTCTTCTGTTGGGAACCTAGCACAGACAACCGTATCACCTATTTCACCCGATTCTGTGATCTCATAAGAAAATCGCACTTGTCTTGCCGGGCCTGTAAAATGGTAAATCTTGCTTCCCTGGATATTCGCATAAATGCCTGATGTCATAATGTCAATGTCAACCTGTGCGACTCCATTGTTAATGGCCTCTGATCGGGGAACGACGCCTTGCAAGAATATCTCCAGGCCTTCCAGGCGGAAATGTGAGCCATTGTTGAATACACTGGCAAAGCTGTTCTTGTCAGCTGTGTCGATACTTGGTACAAGGGTGAAACTGGCACTGTGGCTTTCGCCCTGCAGGCCCTGGATCATTAAGTCGCCATAGTTGGCAGGTAGCTATTCCGCACGATCAGTCAGTTTGACAGACACTGATAGAATGTGGATATCTTATCTAACCTCGCTTGAAGAGGTGTGATACTCAAACGCTTCATGTTGTTAGTTTCTAGATGCAAACAGATAGTAAATAAAAAACGTACGTTGAGAATCTGTGGCGTATCTTTCGTCTACTGATCGAACTTCGCAGTCGAGAGTGAGAAGATCAGCTTTGAAATCAGCGATAGATTTCTGCGAGTCAAGTACAACCGCACTATCCGCCAGAGACCGGTATTTGTACGCCCAAACCAGTTTCTGCATTTGCATCACAAGGCTGGTTCGAGCGGCCAGGACGCGACTGAAGAATCTGGCTTTAGCCAGGTCATACTGTTCCTTCTCGTTGTTATATTGGTTCAGTTGGTTCTCTAAAGAAGCAATGTCTTGGTTACAGGTAATGACCTCCATCGCAGCATGAACATACTCATGGCCAGCCCTCACAGCCTCTAGCTGAGCTTGGACCAAGGCCTTGCCATTAACAGCTTGTTTCCGGAGAGCCAGTCGATATGCAGGAGCTCCTAGGATATTTTGATTGACTGCATATTCTAGCTGTTGATCGGAATCAAGGGTCCATTTATCCCACGCAGAAAGTGTTATGATAGTTCGGGCATAGGTATCTTCATCCCTAGTCTCTGTCACCTCACCATAAGATGAAATTTTAGCATTAGGGTTCGATTCAAGCTCCTTGATTGCTGCAGCAAGGTGTACCGTGCTGGGGTACATGCGTTCAAGGGCTTGTATGCATTTACCAAGCGCCTTAAATGTTGATGATGTGATTATTTTGCCTGTTTGATCGGATCGCTTTTCTAATTGTATCATATCGTCAATTGTGCTTTTGATATTCTTTGCAGCATCACCGGTACAAGATTCAAATCCTGAGGTAATAGTAAGCGCGTTGCTAAATTCTGTATCTTCTCAGTCCGTACACACTATCCAAGGTCGATTAAAAGAATGTGTATGTGTGTGAGACTTACTGATAATTGCACTCAAGATTTCAAACGCCGTCATGAGCCCTGTTTTCCTATACCATGTCGTAAGGCCACCTTGAAATGTGGCTTCAGCATCGCCAAGTTGCCTGTTATCAGCGTTCAACTGCTCTTGGCAACGAGCCACCACCGTGCAAGCATTCTGATATTTATCCCAGGCCACTTTTCTTAGAGTTATATCTTTGTTCAACTGAGTTTGCGCATGCTGAAGCAACGCCTCCCAGGCCAGTTTCAAACCATCCACATTGCATTTATTATCCTGAAAGCGCTGATATTGTTCCTCGAATGTTGTAACCGCGTCAAGCGCATCGCGTACGGTGGACATATACTGGTCAATCTTCAGTGCAGGAGAGATATCCTGCCCCATCATCGCCTGGGCTACCAGCTGTTGCCCCAGTGCCACTGCCTGAGTATTGATCTGGGCATAGAAATTTAACGCTAAATCAAAGGTCACTGAAGCAACATACGAGCAGATGGAAGTGGCAATGGAGGGGTTCCTCCAAAGCAGAACTAGGGCAATGAGTAACTGCGTCTCGAGACTCGATTGCAAATCCTCATCCACCGCTCGCATGTAAACGTCTTGATACTCGAGATCGATGTGATCGGGGAAGACGATCATTTTCACTCCCACATTTCCCGTTGATGGACCTAGCTCTAGGAGTAGGGGTTCCTGATCACCTACAGACACTGACAATGGCTGGTCGAGGATGGAAGCGTAGATATAAATCCAGCAAATTGTATCAGGAATGACCTTCAGATGGGTGGGTGTGTCCGCTGTGAGAACCCTTGCAATAATTTGCATTGATCCGTAGGCTTCTGGAGAGATGGTAACTTCTGGCTGTTTGAATGCGAACACATCTGTATAAGCATACCATAGCTGGGATGGTGGTTGCACAATCCTCGATTCATCCCGATAGATATCCCGCTCAATGATACTGTTCTATGGATCGTTAATTTCCCGACTCAAGTAAGAATATATTTTACTTGCCTGGGCGGCTTTTCGTTCCTGTCTCAACGGAATGGATGTGATGATCTCACTCTGTGCATACTTGAGCCACTCAGCTGGAGTTTTGGGCTCGGGAGGAATGGTGCTCATTTTTATGAATGGTGGTATCAGAATAACATGGCCAGAGGGACGTATTTCCTTTAAGAATCGATTCCCAAAAAAGAGCAACACATCATCAAGGAAATATGTTTAATCTAGAAGACTCAATGAGTCATAATAAGGAGTATAATATACTGATCCCATGAGAATAAATGGTGTTGTGGAAAGAATAATATTATCATAAAATAAATTGGTACCCCGCTCCGCCACAATTTCTCCACCGCAGTCAAAAACTAGCTTCTAATAATGCTTTTTTCCTTCCCTCAGCTCTGCCATATTTTCTCTATCTCCTCCGCTGCCGTTCCCAAGAATCTGTCCCTCAGTTCCCTCATCTCCTCTGTTCTTGCCATATGGTCCCAATAATGGGGAACCCCTTCTACAACTTCACAGTCAACATTCTTTCCCAGCTGTTTCAGTCGACGAAATGCTTCTTTCTCCTCGCTCAAGAGGTAGTCAAGGCCCGCAAGTTTGAATGATATAATAGGGGGTAATGCCTCTTTGAGCGCATCCTCAGGCGCAAGTCCGGGAGAGAGGTACATAAAGCCTTTGTCTGGCTTTTGTTCTAGTTTCCAAAAGAAAGCCTCATCGAAAACAGATCCGATAAGTTTCGATGATGATGGTGGCTTTCTTTTCAATGCTAAAAATGCTGGATTGGATTGAGCACGCTCAGCACGGCTCTTGGTCATATCCATGACTGGATAAAACGCCATTAATCCTTTGACAGTTCCCATGTGTGCATTATCAACCCGGAGGGTTTTATCCTTCATCCTCTTCCATAGCATGAGAAGTGAAGCGAAGGCAAGATGGCCACCGGCACTTGAGCCGGAGAGAACCGTTCGATGCTTGTCAATCTGGAAAGAGGCTGCGTTGCGCCAGATATAAAGCAGTGCGTCTAAACAATCTTCGATGGCGACTGGATATGGACTCTCAGGTGCTAGACGGTAATTGACGCTTGCAACGACAGCACCGCGAGATGTCAACTCAGCAATGAAACGTTCATCGTCGCGAGCATGCCCAACGCAATAACCTCCGCCATGAGAGTTCACAACGATTGGGTACCCATTTTCCTTAGAATTGTTGCGGTCATAGCCGGGTGGGAAATAGAAAAACACATCGAATGATCCTTTGAAAGCGGAAAGTCTCGACGGGATGTTCACTTTCAAACTTGGGCCAGGTGGTCGCAAGGGGCCGCCTCTTCGATCAAGCCAAGCGAATAGGCGAGTTAGGAGGCGTAGAACATATACTTTTAGATAGAACAATAGACTCATCTTGATCATACACTTACTTGATTCAGTGTTGAGATACGTCTTGCAAAGCTACCATGTCTGGCCGACGTCCAGATGTACTCTATAAATACGCCTCGGTAAATGTGCAGTTGATGCATCATAAATGTATAATCCATTTCTCAGGAGTATATCCTAGCAACTATACTGTATGATAGAACGTCTGCTACTACATTCAAGTACGAAAAGTTGGGCTGACCCACCAGGTGGGGCGGAGTTGCGATTGCACCGAAGGCCGTTTGATATAGAAGTGCTTGGAGGGATTACTGTCTTGCTCTTCATCAATCTGTCCGAACCTAAGCCTCGGGAGTGTAAACCAGCTCAACCGAGGCTGATTAGTATTGTAGCATATCTAATAAATCTGTTATTCTAAGCGCACAAGACGTAGAAAGACATGGCTGGTTATCTCACGTATCTTGCTGGCCCATTAGTCAGAGATTTTCCGCATGCTCAACGGTGGGTTTAGTGCTCGTGAGGGTATCAAAACTGCCTTACAAGAGATGTTTGTAACCTGATAGATAGTGGTCGTCCTGCTGCCGTGGGCTTCGAATCCCCACGGCTGATTTTAGGTGGCAAATACTCGATCTGATGAAACAAAGCCTACATTGAACAAGGTAGCACCTCCGTCTTGGCCAAAATTATTTCAAATAGGAGCATTTCGAGGTACCAAGGCCGTGATTCTGCGGCAGGGGCAAAAATTTTACTGGTAGATATTATCAAATTTGGTATCTGTTCAGGTTTCTTTCCTGAGGTCCCTGATCCAGTTACTACATTCAGCTTCTATTGCAGCTAAGTCTCTATTGGCTGATATCATAGTATTCCGGCTGGATACAGGAATTTGACGTAAATTTGATTGAAAAATAATGATATAAAAGGCTTAGATAACAAGTAAGGAATAGGGCCTAGAATCAATAGCCTTAGTCCTTGAAATTTCTCTCTAGTCTAGACAACCCTTTTCGTCGGTTCTGGCCGCTTTTGGAGTAAGGACGAACCTGACCTCGAAAGTCAGCTCTTAGCTCCCAGGATCGGAATCTTCGAAAGAACAGAAGCTGTCACGTGTCGTATGGAAGAGAGCATATTCTTGCCAAAATCTAGTATCACAGGACCAAGAGTCATAGTATTCTCCGTGCGGGATGCGAGGAAACCCAAACTAAGAATGATGGGTAATATCGCCCAGTATATGCCAATCCGAAATTTTCTGGGGCTCCGTGTCTGGGAGTTGAATTAGCCCTTTTTCATCAATGGATTTCAGTAAAGTCACATTATCATACCCGGACATTCCAATGTGAGTTAATGGGGAATAGGCTCCGATACCAGAAATAGGCTTGGGACCACGGATATGCCATGGCGTTCCAGTTCTTATCATTCTGATACCACTGTGTATCTGATTAGCACGTTATATACCCACAAGCTTTGCAAACTGGAAGATAACTTACCGATTGGCAGCCAGCATTCCAGACTCGCTTTCTTAATGCATCTTGAACTCTGTCGGAATATTCGTCCTCCGCTACCTGCGTGAGCTCAACTGAGTCTGCCTTTTGTTCAAAGACTGGTTTCAGCACACGAAGCGCGTAATTGACAGAACTTTTGGCTGTTAGCATGGGGATAATACTGCTATTTCTTCTTAACTCACTTTTCTGCAGCCATCAGTGCTGAGGTATGACCAGTTCCTGCGTTCGGCCCAAATAACAGGAAGAAATTTGGGAAACCACTCATAGCAGAGCAGTTGTAAGCTTCAGGTCCGTCGTATCTCTTCCAGTGGTCAGTCAGACTCCCATTACGGCCCACGATGTCCATGAAGGGCGTAAATTGATTCGTTTTGAACCCGGTTGCTAAAACAATGACGTCGGCAGCAACAATTCCATCGGAAGTTTTCACACCTTCAGGAACAATCTCAAGGATTTTGGCTGTTGTGAGAGAAAGGTTTTCACTGTGGAGTGATTTGAGATATCCGTCATCGAAAATCCGTCGCTGGTGACATGAGTATCCATGCGTTTTGGTACCGATACCTTATGGAATTTAAACGTACCTTGCACCCTATCTCAAAATCTGGAATCAGAATGTCATGATATTTTGCCGGCGCTGTATCTTTCATGTACTTCTCGACCTCTCTCCTGCGCTTCTGTCTTAGTCGTGCGGCCTTATCTGTCATTGGAAACATTCGGAAGCTACTCTCCGCAAGGAGGAAAATATGCAGTCGATGAAGTTTCAATGAAAGAGGAATGTACTGAAAAATCCATTTCAGAATTTTCGGGTACGTGAAGTTGGTTGCTGGGAAGATCCAGTGTTGGGACCGGATGATCTGCGTCAAAGATTTGGTCCGCTTGACAATAGCAGGTACAATCTGCGCCGCAGTACCTAGAGAGTACAGAATGTTAGCTGACAGTCATTACAGGAATCGACACATTGCTCTCACATCCGTTCCCGACGACTACAACTCTTTTGCCCTCTAAACTGACGCTGTGATCCCACCGAGCTGAATGAATAATATCACCCTGAAAAGATGAAACCCCGGGGATTTCGCAAGGCCGAGGTTCAGCAAAGTGGCCTGTGGCGGAAAACAGTACCTGGCACTCATGTGTTGATTGTTCTCCAGTCTCGACATTGCGGAGGAAAAGAACCCATCGAGACGCATCATCCCGCCATACGCACCGTTTCACCTCCGTACGGAATGTCATTCTCTGTCTCAAACCGTATGTTGCGACGACACCATCCTGGTACGCTTTGATTTCTTGTTGCGAAGGCATCAACTTGGACCACTCAGCGTTGGGAGCAAATGAAAAGCTGTACAGAGCACTGGGAACGTCACACGCGCAGCCTGAAGGATTTATGAGTTTCATGTTAAGTGTACTATAGTCACTCTTACTTACCTGGATACGTGTTGATATGCCATGTTCCACCACAGTCTGTCTGCCGCTCAAAGAAGCGAATATCTTCCACACCGTACCATCTTTTCAGTGTTGCACCTAACGCGATCGCACTTGCCCCTGCCCCAATGCAAGCAACTTGGCTGTAAGAAGGGAGTTCATGGGTTGGATTTGAGCTTGAGTTTGACATTTTTGCGAAATAAATTATACAAAATTCGGTGGATTTAGACGGTCATTGAGCTAAGCTTTCACACTTTATAGATGTAAGTACCAACCAAGTATTTGGCTTCTAGAGGCACAATGCCTCGGTCATAGGCAATCGAGTCCATCATATTATCACGTAATACAGGGAATGGCCCACTGGCACTGTAATCCGTGAATTGAGCTAAAGCAAGCGCGCTGAGATAAATACTCCGTCTGTTTGTCTTCCCCGGATAGATTGATGGGCCGGGTCTCGCAAACCTAACTCGATTTGGCTAGCCTGGTTTAGGGTCGCTGATCTCCATCTAAGTTAAGTCCTTAACCGGGTCACAGTTGAATGGGGTTCAAAAAAATCTCGGCGGTGCTCAAAATTCTGCCACCGCCCCTACCACTATCTTTGAATTCCGTTCAAGTTTTTCCGTGTATAGGCTCAACGGGGGTTAAACTTATATTTTTGAATCCTATTTAATATAAAGTTTTGGTAAATAAAACTATATTATATTAATTTTATATACTATATATATTAAATAGTAAAGGATATATTATTTATTTTTATTTATTAAATTTTATAAAATTTTAAATTGGGTAAAAAATAGTCTAAACGGGGCTTAAAAATATACTATGCATAGATTGAATGGGGCTTAAAAATCTACTATGTATATGTTGAATGGGGTTCAAAATTTCTGGGATTCTGCCATTGTCTTTTGAACCCCGTTCAACTGTGTGCCCGTCCTTAACCTGATTATTCTTACATACATGGCTGGGGCACTCCGGAGTTTCGCTCACTCCTCGTCGTGCTTCCCCCCTTCTTCGGGCCTTGACCCTCGTTGAGTTATAGCTGACAATGATTATCAACGCATAGGATGACTGGGACAGGAAGTGCAGAGATGCAAGCACGACGACCCTGGTTCTAGACATGAAGTCCCACCCCACCAAGTAGGTCCACTGCTCACTCTTCCATGGTCGGTTTAAACTATTCTCTTCATAGACCAGCGAATGCGGACGTGCGACCATGAACCCGCAAAATATGGCTGCAGAGATCAAGTACTGGCTGTAAAACCTAAAATAGAACCTGTGTTACATTCCTGTTGTCCTGCACCTTGATGTTTCTCATCATCAAAACCCAGCCAATGGACAGACCCATCACAGCGGTTCCGGCAATTATCATGTTCCGTTGGCTGAACGCATACGCGTTTTGAATGGCGGTGCAAGTAGGCGAGCCCACGGGATAACTAAGCTGAACATCCAGCGACTCGTAAATACCCGCCCACTGATCCTTTGTTTCCGCCGGCAACAACTCGCGCAACTTCTTCGGAAGCGTGTTGGTCCAGTTGGCACCAGATACACTACTGCCCACAGCACCGCCCACATTGCCAAATACACTGAGCAGTGCCAACGTAGATGCATAGTCTTCATGTTTGGCAGCTGCCAGGACAGCAACTTGTTCAATCAAGATCATGGTGCCGCCACCGACGGCCAGGAAGATCTGGCACATGCACGTGTACCCGACACTGTGACCAGGGGCGCGGAAATAGATCATCAGGCCACTAGCTAACAGGTAGAGTGGAACGGCAAACATGAGCAGCCACTTGAACCGGCCAGTGACTTGGATGAGGTAGCCACAGCCAATAAGCCAGATGGGGTCCATCAAGTCGAAAATCGCGCTGATGTAACCCGCCTGGGTGAGGCTTGTGTTGAAGTCCACCTGTAGGAAAGAGGTAAAGTATCTAACCCAGCAGTAGTAGGAAACTTGATATGTGATATCCAACAGACAAGCGCCGATAACAGTCCGATTCGAGAGTAGCGAGAAACGAATAAGTGGTTTCGGTGCGCCCCAGCGCTCATAGGCAACGAATATAACAAGGACACAAAACCCGACTATCATCATGGCAATTATCTTAGCCGATTTCCACTCTCCTTTGGTGTTTCCGGCAATGTTGAAAGAGGTGAGGAAGAGGATCAATCCGCCGATCATCAAGAAGATACCGATGACTGTGAAGGTAGGTGAAGTATGTTAGTCTGGGTTATCCAATGCAGGCGAGAAAAAAGATACAAAAGCGTCTTACTGTCAAACTCGATGATATAGAACCATACACTCTGCCACCATGTCCGAGTGCTACGAGGCTTATACTGCAATCGACCGTCCTTACCTGCCTTTCGCTTGGCTAACTCCTATGTGTTGATCAAAGGAGAAGCAGCAATCGGAAGAATGATGCAGATGGTCCCGTATGCTCATCTCCAGTTAGTCTCGTGAAATTGGCTGGACATGGGGTGATCCGGCAAAAGCAGTAATGATATAGGGCGACGAGGTGAAGCCATATGCAATACCACGGTTGCGAAGTGAGGAAGTATCCGACGTAATCACATCAACGCTGAAAATCGTACCGGTAAAGCCAACCGTATAGAATGCCTTGGCGAAATGAGCTTCTCGCCATGAAGAAACTCAGTGAGGAAAGCCCGGGCTGAGAAGACGTACTTGCGCGGCACAATACGTTGTGATATTGTAACAGCCAGCCATCATAATAAGACCCATGATGGCAATCAAAATCATGATGGAGATTTCAGGAGTACGGTCCCACAGATTTGGAACCTTTGCAATTGGCATCACACATGCAGCACCCATCACACTGGTCACAACGCTGATGACTGTCAGCAGCGAGTATTCCGAGAAATCACTTGTGATATACGCCGAAAGGTTGGAGGTTAGGTTGTTGCTTAGGCCATTGACAAAGTATAGCATCCACATACTGCGAGTTACTTAGCAGGGGATAAGAGAGTACGGAGGCCACGAAGATTACTCACGAGGCATATGTTATGATGAGGGATTTCTTGGACCAGGAGACAGTCACTGCCTCAGCGACTCGAATACCGTCCTGTTGGTCCTGGTTCTCGGTGGCCGCTGCAGAGATGTCTGAGTCCAGCGGCATCGAATCCTCATTGACCCCGGGTAGAGGGAGCATTCTTAACGGTGGTCATTTTGACAGAGACTATCACAGATACTCAACAATCACAAATATCATGTTTGATGTGCGGGATCAAAACTGGGACATGAGACACTTATAACTCCGACATATAGCCGCTTGATGGCCTTCGTTCCGAGGTCTCCCCACTTTGGTCTGTGGAATTTTCATTCCGCGTTATTGCTATTTGAAAGAACACTCAGTAATGGAATTCGTCTTCCGGTCGATACTACTTTTGGCGTAGACCGGTGGGACTGTACCTCTGGATTGACTAATTATTTGAGGTTATAGGATCCACCAAAGATTAAATTACAACCGAATCTACAAACCAAGTTCCAACAAGCTTTCCGTACAAGCTTTTCAGATGGGCCTGGTGAAAAGATTGTGTATGAGCAGGGCCCAGAAACCCACCCCAAAGTTACCTTTACCCTTGGACATCGATCGACTCGAGCCATTCCACCTCCACATAGTTCTACTGGCTGAATTGCTCTTCTCTCCATCCGAGGAATACCCGATCAATGAAGTCTCTTAGTCTAGGAGCGTTATGATCAATCTAGGGACCGGCCTCTTAGCCAATCTCGGTATTCCTGCCGACAAGAAAACGGTTGCCTTGAATCCGGAACCGGTAACCAGATGCGGGTCGAGATAAGATCAAGGTGAAACATTGAGAAACAATTTGGTGCAGTCGGCTTGCAAGGGACATGGTTATTGAATGCACACATTCTACTAATATACTTCGAACTTAGTCCACCCACGGACCTATAAATGAATTGAAGGTATTCGCCATCAGCATATCGAGAAATTGTCTCAGATGATGTCTGAAGCATTTCTCTGAGTGCGATGTAGGAACCTGCGGCCGAGTAATAATACTCGACACTATAGTTGCCCACTGGGGCCGGAATCGGTAGGTTCCGCCAGCTTCAAGGACCCTGAGTCAAATGAGCTGTAGTTGTAAGAGGTCCAAAAGATTTTGAACAAGGCTCGAGTAGTTAGTTCCTTTTACCCAGTATTGATTTGAATTGCATAATTGGCCAGTGAGAAAAGCTAACATAACATGGTATACAGCCGAAAAGCCTCGTTAATCCGACACATTCTCCTGTGCAGGATATGTGGTGGCTTCAAAAAAAAAAAAAAAAAAAAAAGCGAAGTGGTTGCATAATTCCACGTTTCCACTATGTACGCTAGGCTCGACGGTTTTAGGGTCAATTATAGCTTGACAAGAGGCCCATGGTGGAGAGAAAAAGCGATTGATTGATTAGATCAATTGCTCCACTTAGTTGGCATGTTGACCGAGCTTGGCACTGAACCAGGTCACTTCATTTGCAATGAATCACCGAACATGGTTGCATGCGAAAGGCACACCCCATTACATGTTGGTACGTGTTACCTTTTTATATTTTTACACACTGGCAAGCGCAGAAAATCTGTGTCGTCTCGACTCTTGGCCTCTCAATCAAGCTAAGACATAGGTGTCGTAACATGGGCAGCAGTTCATGCCAAGCGGGATTGGGATCATATACACTGAGACTCCCCGTCCTAGAACGAGAACCGATACAAGAAAACAAATCATACCTGATTTAGAAAGGCTATCTCTGCCGTACCATGACAGGCTCGCTGCTCCCTTGGGTGGCCCGGTTCACAGATAACAAGAAGAGGCTGTCGAATAACTTACTAGACTCGCAGACCTAAAACGGATGAAAAGAAGGGTATTCGCTCTCCTCGCATTCCTTCACCTTCTGCAGAAACATACCCAACCCACCCATGAAGATATAGACAGACCGTGGCTTACCATCCACATTCACGCCATTGAAATACGATGCGGCTTTTCTAACCAGCGCCGCCTCGCTAATAGCATTGCACAACCCACCCCATGCAGCTTCCCCTTCATCTGTCGATTCAATTACGATCCTAGCTGGAGCTGACGAGGTACTCTGCTCCTTGCGATGCTCTTCCGCACGCGATATGGCCCCGGTAATGAACTCAACGTGGGCTTCAATGGCTGGGGGTACATTGGTCAGGGGAACCTGAGGCCCAACTATCATGAAAAGATTTGGGAATCCTGCTGTGGCAACGGCCATATTTGTGATGGGCCCGTCTTTCCAGTGTTCGCTCAATGGTTTCCCTTCGCGTCCGGCAATGTTAATTTTTCTGTAAGCCCCATCAAATGCGTTGAAACCCGTGGCGCAAATAATCACATCCAGCTTATGTACGGTTCCATCGGCCAGCTTGATCCCGTCGCGGGTAATCTCGAGCATGGGATTCTCCGCGATATCGACGACATCGACGTTCTCCCGATTAAATTGCTCATAGTAGCCATCAGCGCAGACCGGCCTGCGGGCGTAGAGTTCGCTCGGTGTTAACTTGCGGCGCTTCTCTGGATCCTGCACAATCTGGTGGATCTTTTTCTTCAGGAAATCACATGCCGTTTGGTTGGATGCTTCATTGAGAATAAGATCATTGAATGTACCCAGGAAGAATCGGAAGGCTCCTCCGTCGTCCCAGGCGGCTTGGTAGATCCGCTCGCGCTCCTCGTCCACGACACTCATCGCACTCGTCTTGGCCTCCTCGACACCCATTCCTCCAATCTCTTGTCTAATCTTTTGCCATATCTCGTCGTAGGCCTTGTTAATCACATCGCGCTCCTCCTGCGAGACAGGTCGTTTACCGGCAGGAACGATGTATTGGGGATGCCGTTGGAAACAGACTAAGGACTCGACATCCTGGGCAATTGTGACGATCACTTGCACACCGGATGATCCATTCCCAATCACTCCAACTCTCTTTCCTTTCAAGTCATACTGATCTGGCCACCGAGCAGTATGGTATAGACAGCCCTGGAACTGATCCCTCCCAGGGATGTTCGGCCAATTGGGCTCCGTGAGGATGCCGAGAGACGTGATGAGATAGCGAGTCGTGAAAGAACCTTGGCTAGATTCCACAGTCCACGTGCAGTCGTCTTCGTTCCAAATCGCGGAGACAACTTCCGTATGGAACTGCATGTGCCTGCGCAAGTCGTGGCGGTTCACAACATGTTCCAGATAGGCAAGAACCTCCTTTCTTTCCAGATAATTATAAGACCAGGGATATGATTGGAGGTCTTCCTTATCCCAGGAATAGCGATACAGATGAGAGGGGGTATCGCTTGTCGCGCCCGGATAGCGGTTCCAATACCATGTTCCTCCAAGCCCTGCGGCCCTTTCCACCAGCTTGACTGTCAGCCCGAGCTTGAGGAGGGAGTGTAGTTGGTAGATCCCTCCAAACCCGGCACCAACAACCAGTGCGTCGTGTAAGGGCGAGGACATGGTAACGAACTGACAACCACGGCGACTGAGTAGTTTATTACAAAGCTGTGCGTGTTCCCTCTAAGGCGTTGCAGCTTAAGTAAAGATTTTTCTCATGGAGTTGCCTCACGCTTCTAACCGGAGCATTGGGAATGTTTTTGAAATTGCTAACTATATGGCCGTGCGTCTGAAGCTTTTTATGATGATACTTAGATTTGGCCCCCATGCACTTCAGACGGAGCACCCAATAGTAGAGAGACATCAATCTTAGGCCCCGGATTCCGATGGATTGGCCCCACAACGCATCAGCTACCAGTAGTTTGTAGCTTTTCGCATGTGGGTATGGATCTCCATAATGAGAGCCTCATTGCAAATACGCCTAGTTGCTAGTAATACGAAGCTGGGCTGGAACATAGCCATAGTGAAGTCAGAAAACGCAAAGAATACTTCCGTCTGAGGCTGCAAAAATACATCGATATAATCTTTCCGCCACTCATCCTCATACCAGCAGGTGTAGAGAGCTTTGCAATATTCCCAATAATACGGATACCATCCGAACTTCTAAGGGACTACTGAGTAGAAACACCTTCCTCTTTCGCTCGTGGTAGTAGTCCCTTAGAAGTTCGGATAGGACAGTTTTCCCGCTGGCTGGTGTTCCGCGTACGTGGATAACATCTTTATCATCCACAGCGGCAGCAAGCTTTGATACTGTATCCCTGCGTAAACATCTCGTAGGGTCACTAGCAGTTAGCCCTGCTCACAAAAGTGTCAGCTCTAGATATGGCCTCTGAGGGGACCGGATCTCACACTTACGACCCATGACGTGCTGTCGCGTATGATCAGAGCTGCCAACAGATGCTAAGATTTCCGTCGGAGATGACTTGGAACCAAAATTCTGGTGTAGTGATAGGGTATGGTCACAGTCCTCACATGCCCCTTCAGGGAGTGATCCTGGTGTCACAGTAAAAATCCCTTGTGTACATGGACACGGGGTCATCAATTTGCCCGACTTGCACGTTGCTGTACACCGGCCAGCGGCCAACGTACGAGAGGTTGAAGTATGCTTGATGTCCGAGGGAGGACTCGAAGGAGAAGTGAAGAATCGAGAAGGTGAGGAGGAAATCATCCTTGCGATTTTTGACGGGGCGTAGGATGGATGGATGGATGGTACTGAGTAAAATAGGAGGCCGCCACCGATACACCGGCTAGGCAACCAGTACGACGTGAAGGCTCTCAAACAGGATCCGGTGTGGAAAGGCAATAGAGAGTAGAGATAGCACTTTGGAATTCACCCTTGAAACGAGAAAGGAGGACAGCCAGGGTATAGTGAGTCATGTCAAGAGAAAGAAGGTAATGAAGTTGCTCATCTCCTCGTAATACTTGGATGATAATGCGGCCTATCAGGTGGCTATCCCGAACGGGATAAAACCAAAACCCTCCCTATGCAACTGATCTTGATTGATAGTAGAATAAATACAAAGAGACTGGTGCTTCTCTCGTATGACTAATCTTTTACATTGTCCAGAACTTCGATTTTGTCCGCCGTACTCAGCGGCCATCCGAAGTCCAACTCTCGGCGTGGTCCGGAGCACGGAACAGAATTCCTATCGACATGGCTAGAGCTGACAAAGATTCCCTAGATTTTCTACTTCCCTCCATCTTCCATGATTTCGGTATGTTGATGCCAGGTTGCATATGCTGGTCAGAGTGGAGGGATGCTCTGGCCCCAGCACCTGCTTTTTGAGTCTCCATCAGCTCGCCTGCATCATTATATTTCCCATCACTACACAAACAAGGCTAAACGGACCCTCAACTTATTTTCTTCAGATCAATTTCTTAAATAGAAGAAGTCCATTTTCCAATGTATATTCTTGCTCATTTCGGCGAGCCAAGCCACGCAGAGTTTCTAACATATACTTAAATTTTTAGGCTTCTTCACGGCCCATCCCGGCCCGGGCCCAACCCGGCCCAAGCCCACGATGGGTTGGGCTTTGGGCCCCAAATAGTGCAAACATAGGGCTTTATGTAAAAAACTTGATTTATCCTACTTAGTAAGCATCTTTATGTATGCCAAGACCAATATTTATGCAAAAATGGGCTTTGGGGGGCCCTGAAGAAGACTACTCTTATCTTATAATAAAGATTATAATAGAAGTCATATCTCGGACTCTATCAACGACTGCAAGTTTATTTCTAGATTTACTAAATTCTATACTTTCTCTTATTTAAATAATAAAGAAAATAACATTATAAGCATATATCAGTAAGTGCACAATTCCCTTCCACAGTGCCACGTAAACGTATGGATGATCCTTCACGCTACAAGCCCAGGGTTTTAGGGTTAGTGCCCCTGTAGGGTGCGCAACGGATCGAAGATCTGAGATCTAACGATCTATATTTCACGCTTACTTCCTAGCGGACAATAGCCCGAGAAACTCTGGATGACTTCTACCCACACTGCACTTTCTTTCCACCAATCTGCTATTTACTAAGAGTCAAGAAATAATCAACCATGACCCACGCTGAGCCAATGACCTTCACAGACGGCCTACCTCTGCCACGCCTCATCGCTTTTGACCTGGACCACACATTATGGCCATTCAAGGTCGACGCGGATGTTAGCGAGCCGGTCGAGGCTCGCGACAACAATTCATGCATCGTGGACCGGTATGTCAGGATAGAATCGTGGAGTTCCATTACTAGTTTCGTTTGCCTAAACTCTCTCAACCAAATAGACGGGGTAAGTCCTTCGCCTTCTATCCCGCTGTATCTTCAATCCTCTCCTCCTGCAAGGATCGCTCAATCCCCTTGGCACTCGCTTCGCGGAGCCATGCTCCCGATTTGGCCCTTGCCATACTCGAAGCCCTGCACATCAATCCCGCGTTCTCGGATAACACCACTCTAAATACGCCCTCTGTGTGCGCGCGGAACTACTTTGACTACATCCAAATTGTCCCTGGGACTAAAAAGCAACATTTTATGCGCATCCATCATGCCAGCGGCATTGCCTATGAGGATATATTGTTCTTTGACGACGAAGCGCGTAACCATGACGTGGAGACTGAGCTTGGGGTCACATTCTGTTTGATTAGGGGTGGAATAACTAGGGACGAGGTGGATCGCGGAGTTAGGGCATGGCGGAAGCGGAATGGGATTGGACAGAAGACGACTGATAATGAGTATTCCATATAGAAAATGCTTGTATATAGGGGTATATCTCATCACGCTTGGAAGCTTCACCTTCACGGAATTGCGGTGGCAACTTCAGGTGTGCATCCTAGACCACTTAGGATGATATAACACACACACTAGGGGCGCCACCGGCTTATCTCGCTTCTGCACTCTGTTCCTGGTACGATAGACTGGCTTAGTTTTGCATGTGTCCCTGATGTCTCTCTCGTCGTTGTCTCATGATCTCATCTGGAAAAGGTTTGGTAGAGCAAGAAATTCTTCCCGGTTATTTCACCTTTCTGCCTTTAAAGTAGTCCTTGTGCAATAGACAAGTAGTATTTAGCCTTACGATTGTTGACCTACGATACTGGTGAGCCTCGGTGAACAGGAATTGGAATTGAGCATGTCGATGGTGAAGGGCTACTCGCTGTAACGATTCATGATTTCCTGGATTATTTTCGTGGTGGAAATGCCCCGGTTCGATGGAAGAAGTTCCACCCGCCCCCCGTTGGCCTCTACAAAGTCGCGTCCGACCACTTGATGCAATTCATAGTCACTTCCCTTGACAAGAAAGTCCGGCTTGATAGCCTGAATCAGATCAAGGGGAGTTTCTTGGTCGAACAGAACCACAAAGTCCACACAGTCTAGCCCAGCCAGAGTCTGAACTCGTTGGGCCTCGGGGACGATAGGGCGACGGTTACCCTTGATCTGCCGTACAGAAGAGTCTGAGTTGAGCCCCACGAGCAAAAGATCCCCGAGAGCCTTGGCTTTCTGCAAGTAACTGACGTGTTCGGCATGAAGCATATCAAAGCAACCATTTGTGAAAACAATTTTCGCTGACGGCTGGGACTGGCGCACCGTGTGAATTTCGAGTAGAAGTTGCTCGAGGGTCCGATTCTTGCTTGGGCTAAGTCTTCGGTCCAGCGAATTGGCTGAACGGTCCATCACAAAGGAGAGCAGTTCATTTACGTCAATTGTGCTGATTCCCTTCTTGCCAACGGCAAGGGTGCCTGCGTGGTTGGCCAACTTTGCGGCCTGATGGACTGAGGATCTGCGGATAGTGAGAGCCCAGGTGAATACTGCAAGCACAGTATCTCCCGCACCACTGACATCAGCTACTATTCTTGCATGGCCCGGAAAGTGTGTGCTTTGTTGAGAGTCCGATTCATACAACTTTATACCGTCCTGTCCACACGTGACAAGAAGCACGGATGCCTGAATCTTGGTCATGAGCTCTCTTGCAGCCACATTGACATCTGACGGAGAGCGCAATAATCGACCAGTGCAAAGCTGGAGCTCGTTCATATTGGGTGTCAAAGCGGTGACACCGCAATAGTGGTCGGGCACCTGATGTTTCGTATCCGCAATGACCGTCTTCTCCAGCGATTGTGCCTTGCGGATAATCGCCGTTACGAGTGACGGAGTAAGGAAACCCTTATTGTAGTCCGACAACACTAGACCGGCGCAACCTACTAGACACCCTTGGATAGCCTCGAGTACGCGTGACACGTCTTGCTCCCCCACCGGTGCGGTTGACTCACGGTCAACGCGGACAATTTGTTGCTGCTCTGCAATGATTCGAGTCTTGAGGCTCGTTGGCCTCCCAGGAATGACCTGAATCAAACTGGTGTCAATCTTGGATTGCGACAGGGAGCATATCAGTTGTCTGCCTTCTTCATCGTCTCCAATCGCTCCAACCAAGACTACCGACGCACCAAGTGCAGCAAGGTTGCAGGCCACATTGGCAGCACCGCCGGGATAGAATGCCGCCTCCTGTTGCTCCACAACTGGCACTGGTGCTTCTGGAGAAATCCTCTTGACGCTCCCACGGATAAATTGGTCCAGAATCAGATCCCCGACGACGAGAAGGGGCCCTTCGGCGTAAGGGTGAGCAGCTGAGTCTTCCGAGAGCATATTATCAGCAAATAGTCTTTTTGAAAAATGTTGGTTTCTCGATGCATCAGTAATGCATCAGTAATGGATTACGACCTGGCGCTCCTCTAGTAATATGTCTCTCATAACTTTATTTTGGTTGAGGGTTGCATTAGTACCTACTACTCATACGCCAACAATCTCTGTGATTTTACCCCTAGCGTGGCGAGTGTACTCCGTAGCTGAACCTCAGCTGCGGACGTAGCGGGGCTGAAGAATGCTGATCGATCGTACATACGTGGCACCAGTAGATCATAACTATTCACCCGCGATCCCTCATTTAAGTAGTTTTTGTCAGTCAGCCAGGAAACCGCAGTTGAGCACCAAAAGTGGGGTTTCTTGCAGATACGGTGCTAGTCCATAGGAGGAAGTTTTGCAGGAAGTACAACTTTAGGGGTAAACTGATCTACAGCAAATATTCGTTCCCTTTCCTTGGAGTCATTCTGTTACGACCTGCTATCTCGTCAAGAATCATTTGTTTGTAATTCTGGGTTAGGATGGAGACCAATGAGCATCACCAGACCAACGCAACACACGGGAGCCATTTAAGGCGATTGAAGTGTGGTGGGTTTAATATAATGCTCTGATGATTGAAATTGTACTAACTGAGCGTCTAAGGAGTTTCTAACAATGATTGGGGTAAGAACTTCTCTATATGTGGAGGGGAGAGAATTTGAGAATGGAGACTAAAGATCAGCAAAGGAAAGCTTGGAAAGCAATCCATAGTGGCCCAATTTGCTGTCACCACGTCCGCCGTAGAGGACAATGCCTTGGATGAGAATAAACCCTATGCTGAGTTTTGGATGGGAGCACATCCCTCTCTTCCTTCTTATGACCTTTCCGCCAGTCGTTACAAGATGTCCTTAGGGATAACCCACACCTGCTCTCAACCCATGTGAGCCAGAGATTCTGTACGACACTACCGTTTCTATTCAAAGTTCTTTCCATCAGAGAGCCGCTTTGTATACAAGCTCACCCGGACCGAAACCATGCCCAAGACTTACACGCAAGGGATCCGCTTACATATCCTGGTAAGCTGACCAGGCGGGGGAGTGGCTTTGCCTATACCCTAGTAAAGAATATATGGGATAGAAATATATATAATTTTAATTATAGATTCGAACCATAAGCCCGAAATGATTGTCGCGTTAACCCCATTCGAAGCGTTGTGTGATTTCGGCCCCTGAAAGAGATTGCTCGTTTTCTTTCTTGTGTACCACCGCTACGAAATCTCATCAGTGATGCCACTGCTATGGAATTACAGTCCGCCTGCGACAGCGCAGGAAATGAGTATGGTCAAAAAAGCGCTGGAATAGCGCTGAAGAAGGCCTGGTCAGAGCTACTTACCGCGCATCCATCACGAATCCGAGCGTGTGCAGAAGACTTGATCCGCTTCGCGAGTAGCAGACCAAGAAATGGATCTCTGGCGGTCGAGCATGGCAATCTCACTGATCTTATCCTTCAATTGAGTCAGCATTACCCCTATGATGTTGGGCTTTTCGCCGTCCTATTCATGAACCACGTCTGCCTAAGCCCCGGGGAAGCTTTATTTGTGAGATCTAATGAACTTCACGCTTACCTAAGTGGCGGTATGTTGCTTCTTCTTCTCCTAATACAGATCTATAACTTTTAATCTGCCATATCTAACGGGCTGGTTTTTCTTTTCCCTTTCAGACGGCATCGAATGCATGGCCTCATCGGCGAATGTGGTACGGGCAGGGTTCACACGGAAAACCAAGGATGTCGATACGCTCATATCGATGCTCACATATGAGTGCCTGCCACCCTTCGTTGTAAGAACACCCACTCCCTATTTGCTGGTGGAAATGAGTTCTCGGCAATCCACATCGGTATTATATGTATCACTCGCCGAAGAGTTTAATATCATCAAAACTTCCCTAGCGCCCCAGTTTGCAACGGCGAACTTCCGAGCGTTTCATGGCCCTACAGTCCTGATATGCACCCAGGGAAGTGGGAAGATTGGCGTAGGAGACCATACCGAACCGATTGAGTGTGGTCACGTCTTTTTCGCAGGCGCCGGGAAGGAGATCTTTATCCAGAGCAGAAGTGAGGAACCGTTAATCCTGTTTCAATCCTTTTGTGAGATTGAGGAGTACAACTCCACATTATAAAACAGAGATTTGAGTCTTGACAAAGATGTTCCTCCGATGAGATGAGACAATATGAGTGGCCTTGAGCTCCAATGTTGATCCCATTATTGATGTTCCTCGTCTTCTTCAGGGCTTATGAATGGGCCCAAACTCCGGGCCCAAGGCCTAACTCACATAGGCCCTAGGCCTTAACTACCAGGTCTAAACCTAATCCCTAGATCTATAATAGGCCCCCTAATAGGCCCCTCTTAAAGTCTATTTTTATACAAAACCAGACTGGCATTTGGCTAGGTTAAGTTAGGTTAATGAGGTCAGTTATACCTAATTACTAAGTTAGAGTTAATTTAATAAAATTTCTATATTTAATTATAGTTAAACCAAAAGTTAAATAGTTAATTTAGATTAATTTATTATATCTAGGTAGTTATTATTAAATTTTAATTAGAGTAGTACAATCTAATTGTTGGACATAACCCTATCCTAGTCGGAACATATTAGTGAAAAGGTTTCGACGCATTCCTGAGACGGTGCATTAATACCGTCGGTTCAAGAACATGAAGCGTAAGAGGTCATGTCTGACATGCAGATGTAGGAATAAATGAGCTATAAAGCTTATTGGAGTACAGGACAATGTTTCTTCCCATACGCAGGAGTAAAGGGTTGGTTCCCAACAAGACCTGCGTATAAACCCCCACCTTACGTTCATGATTTAGACTTAGGAACCATCGAACAGCAAGTTCTATATCAGCATATAAATAGAGTTAATATCAGACACGAAAGTGCTCACTGCGGATTGCTTCCAATTGACTTTAGTAATCTGATAGATTTGTTTCGTTCCCTCAGGGTCTAGCTTGCATTTGCTGCCATTGAGTGAAATTATAGTTCACTAATGCGAGGGCTCGGGGACAACGATCTTATCCACATTTCGCCATTGTTACTATTGCTTGTATGGGTCGCGAAGGCCCTTACATACTAGTATGTAATAGGTATGCGGGGCATGTATGCACTAATGTACGAGTGGAGTAGGCCTGCATGAGCTCCCCTGGAGATGGATTCCTCCGCCGTTCCCCAGCAATGTTTATCATTCCGCCGTTCTTTTAAGAGCGATAAATCCGCTCGAATTTATTCGTTCACCCAGAGATTCCCTCGCCTTCTTTAATATACAACCCATGAAAACTGACCGATTCACGATGGTCTCTTCTAAATTCATCGCGCTCGCCATTTTCTCCTGCATGGCCCCCGCTCTGGCAGCAGAGAATGTAAGCTCAACCAGTTCAACACCCCTAGCCTGCTTCCTTGAAGAATTTGCTAAGTGTGCTCTCCCCTAGGTTACCCTTTACTCGGAGGAGCCTTGCACGGGTGAAACAGCCCTGATCCAGCCAAACAACAAATGCACTCTCGTACCAGAAGCATTGTACGTGAACACGACGGTTGGCAACACAGAGTTGGAACTAATGGTACCAATTAATATAGGGCCGGAAAAGTGGTCGGGGTGAAAGTACCTGAAGATATTGTGTGCAATTTCTATAAGTGAGTATCCGGCCTCCCCATCTTGATCGATGTAATATAAGCTGAAGGCGCTGATATTGGTATAGGGATGAGAAATGCAAAGAGCCAATCTTGTATTCAGTGGAGGACCCTGGTATCTGCACATTTAGCGAGTGGGATACCGATGATCAGAAAGTTAGCAACCTTTCGGCTAGCGTTCTTTGCTTCGATAGTACCGTTGAGGAGTCGTGAGATGCCGGCCTTCAAAATGGTGTTGGGGGTACTTCCTCCCCTGAGCAGAACTACACCGTTGGATTCATAAATAAACAATGAAAGGGTTTTAATCGTATGTATTGTTAACATTAGGAAAGTGTCGTTTCGTGAAAAGTACAACTTCGTGCATAGACGATTGATATGTGCATGGAGATATTCCCCACCACGACTCAATCTAGGTTGAAATGATATCGATCCGTCGATCATCTCTGTTGTTAGGAAGCAGTCATGAGGTATACACCCTTTATGTGATGACTGTCTTGAGTGATTGGCAAGACCGTAGCGCTCACGTATCCCCATTCTTCACGATGGCCCTTTTAGCACAGTCTACTTCATCCGTGGATGATATAGCTAGATATTGTTTAGACGGAGAGAACTGGTCCCTAACTTAACTAACTAGTACTAGTCGTTCGCCGCAGGAGATGCGCCGCCTACCTCGGGCCAAGAGAGGATGTCGTATACCGTTGGTCCGTTGCGATTCTGTCATCGCTGTAGAGCAGTGATCTGAAATGGAGTTCGGGTTTACTTTCTGGGAGTCAACTCACACGAGGGATGTGGAAGTATAATACAGACATAAACTACTTTATTGGGGAAAATGTAGCACAATGTATCTCAAATGGCAGAGGTATATTAATCCAATAGAGAAGAGAACGTCAAGTAGCCAAAGGAATGTCATATCTCGTCACATCATCAAAGAATCCATGCAACGGGTCTGTTTTGCCCAATGCCAAACGCCGATATTAAAACACGATCTAAGTAAAACCCAAAAAGACCGAAATCTGGAAAGAAAAAGCTCAAATCTCATCAATGACAACCACCCGTTCTACGACCCAATCCACAAAGGCCTGTCCTTCCATCTTCCACCGGCCCTCCCGCCACACTTCATCTACCCAGTAGGTCAGATTCTTCCCTTGACCTGGCAATGATAATCCGCCGCCTGACTTGTTCTGTCGTGAGAAGGACCTGTTGACCTGGAAAGACCGGACTCCGACGCTGGCCATGCCTTGCCGCATGCGCCATTCACGTTCGGCTTTCTCGCCCGCACGACGCGCGACGGCTTCTTCGTCTTCGTCTTGATAGAGCTCGCATTTGTTGCACTCGGTACAGCGAGCTCCTGGGTTGATGCGGAAATGTTCGCAGAAATGCTTGTAGCCCTCTGGTTCTTCGAATTCTTCGTCATCGATGTTTTGGTTGTCGTGCTCTGCTTCATTTGCTGGGTTGATGTTTTCTTGTTGACGTTGCCTGGGACGGAACCATTGGGGGGCTTTGGATGGGGGGCTGAGGCCTTTGCGACAGAGGTAGCACATGGAGTACCCGCAGACGCAGGTTAACTTGTTGCAGCCAGAGGATTTGACGAAGGACAGACCGCAGCGGGGACAGGTGCGTTTCACTGCAGCCGTGCGAGCGGCCTCCACAGTGGCTCGTAAATCGAGCAAGAGTGGTTCAAAGCAGACATGAGGGTCACGCCATGGCTTTTGGCATGTTATGCAGCTGACGCGTTGACATAATGGGTTTGCGCAGGTGAACCTCTTCGGCCGCACCTTAAGACACAGGTTCAGAAAAGAGTTGCGCAGGAAGTTCTGAACGGTGGAAGGATCTAGAATGTAGAGAATAATCACGGGAATGAAGAGCAAGGGTATCGTATCTAGGAGGAGGATGGTAAGTATAATCGTGGAGATGATCCCATCCCGACGAAAGCGCCAAGTGATCCCCTTTGCCGATGGATGATAAACCGAATCAACCTCCGCGTACGAGCAAAAGGGGCAGCGAATGAGCTTCAGCTGAGACTTGAGAAGAGCGTCTGAAGCCAGCCGACCTTCAAACTTAAGATAGGTCTCAATTCCGCCCTTATCAAGGAGAATAGCTCGTTTAACGACCTCCGGATGCAAGCTCCCATTACAGCCATCATGAGCGAACGGGGTCAGACACTTCAGAGTCGACCGCTCCACATCGACCGATTTCCCCCAGCCCTGGCCGAACAGCGCCTCCTGGATCGTCCGCCGGATACAGTCATAACAGATGATATGCATATTCTCCGAACAAGTCGAGATCTGCTCGAACGTCACGTCGGATAAACAGCACTCGCACTCGTAGAGCGCAGCAGCTGCTTTCGCCTCATCCTGATTTAGTTCCTCCGCCAACCTCCGATCCCGATCCTCACACTCTTCTTTCTTCGCGCTCAGCAGCGGCGCCAGCAAAGCATCATACAATTCCCGATCTAACTCCGCACACCCCGTCTCCTTCAACGCCGGAACCGCCTCCCCATTCGCCTGCCGCTGCCACACAATCAAGGGACTCTCCTCTTTATCTCTCTTACTCTTAAAAGAAGGAAACAGACTATTAAACGTCGCCCGCCACGTCCTCTTCGAAAGATCTCTTAACGTCGGTCTCGCCCGCACATAACAGAAATTCACTTCCGCCAGAACCGCATCGACCGTACTCTTGCTCAACCCGCTGAATTCCTTCAGCAGCACCGTTCTCACAGCGATCTTGTACTCAGTCGTCCGAAACCGTTCATTCCGCGGGACCACCCCGGTCCCAGTCACCGGAACCACCTCGGCGGTATCCCCAGGGACGTTCCACCGGCCGGCGACCCATTCCTCTTTATGACGCAAGAGCTGCTCAACACAGACATGCAGTCGGCTCTGCCCGTCGAATCGCACAAGTAATTCGCGGAAGACTTCGATCTTCACGTCCGGGAAGATTCGTGCGAGGGTCTCTAGGGCGTTGTTGAGCTCTTCTTGTTCGCGGGTTTGTTCTGCGGTTGGAGTGGTGGATGTGGGGATTAGACGCGAGCGTGAGGTAGTTCCGAATGGGTTGTTGCGGAGGGCTTCGCTGATGGTGGTGGATTGGCTGGTGTCGTTGGGCCGGAGGGGAGATGATGTTGATGTTGTTGTTGGGGATTTGGAGAAACTCGGGACAGGTAGAGAGAGGACCATCGTTGTATCGATGGGGAAGTCTGCTACATGGTCGGCCTGAGGCGAAAAGAAGTTAAAGTAAGGGGGTATACGGGGTAGCCTGAGGATGCGCTCGAAATTGAGAGTTAATAAATTGTCTGCCTAGAGATAAGTGGAGTTGGAGAGTTATGGAGACGGTTGAGTGAAGTTGACAACCAGTCAATGGTATTGTGTTACGGTACATGACCGTACGGCGGGCCGATGTTGGGGGAATCTAGACCTTCTACCCGTCACTACTGAACACTATTCCTATAGTTAAATATAAATTATATCTCTGATCTACAAAATATATACATAGCGTTAGAGGCCGCTAGAATATACTAGTAAGTCTCTATGTAGATTCTAAGTTCATAGAACGAATCTGCGCATCTCAAAATATAGCAAATAGGTGCAATCTCTAGTGTATTATAGCATTGGAGAGAAGATATTGTGAAAATGTCGAGAAACAAACATGACTGACTATGCTTGTAGAGATGAACAACTCCATAAAGCACTCACTATACCGTATTTTACCTGTGTCTTTAGGGCTATTTACCTCGGTTTCCATACAAGGTACGTTAAACGCCCCAGAGACATTCAGAGAGATATGCAGTTGTAGGTGAATTGAATCTCACCTGCCGCCTATATCACCCGACATAGTGAGACCGAGGTATCTCAAGGTGTGAATCCGCGATAAAGCAAGTCACATGCTATACAGTGCCGGCAAGACAGCCTGGAAAAGCGAGCTTCGTGCCCGCCAACCCATATTCTTAGTCCGATCAAGTTGATAATTGGCTCAATGGACTTGACCAGGCCAGGGCAAATTTGGGTGCGTATGAGAGTCAGCATAATGATCTTCTTGTAGGATCAAGTGGTAAGACAACGATTCCCAGTTCCCAGGTCTCTCCACGGGTATCTGTTTTAGCCCGACAAAGAGATCATCTATTATACTATAAACTAGCACTATTCCCAGCTCCCGGTGCTGTCGATTTGATCCAGGCAGTGGGGCAGTGGCCGACATGGAATACTTCGTATTAGCTTGGGAGTTGAGATGTGAGGCACAGGCTCTACGGTGTACATCGAGAGTTGAACAGTGGATCACATATAGTGTGAATTCTAGAATACAAATTCGAGCTAATGTAGGCCCTAGGGAGATCATTGATATGGGCTTGAACTTGGTGGGTACATATGGAGAGTCAAGTTTAATTTTGCGTCGCTTATCGAACGGTGGGGCTATTTATTCTTCAGCTATATACCAACTTGGTCTTCGGCATATGGGTGGTAGTGGCGTTGACTTTCATTTGTAGATCTATCCAACATGTTCTACCCGTATACTAGAAGAAGCTTCTACAAGGCCTGGACATGTATTCTCAACCAAGAACAAGTCCCATTCTCGTTCAGATACATCGAGTTGAAAAAGCAAGCATATTTTTAAATTCAACCTGAAGGAGATTGCTAAATTGGAAAGAAACAGAAATCGTAATATCTATGTACACAATTTAATCCCATCATTTCGCCATCACGCAAAAAGTAGTCGGTTTAATTATAATTTACAGTTTGGCCTTGGCTCCGTCCAACAGCTCAACACCGGCGCCGCTAATGGCGGGCTTGCCAGTCTCCACAACAGTGGTCTGGAACAGGACGGTGTTGCCCTCCTTCCACATCTCGGTCCTCAGAGTCTGACCGGGCAGGACGACACCGGCAAAGCGAACCTTGATGTTCTTGTAGGCACCGAACTTGCTGTACACGTGCTTACCAGAGACACCCAGGGAGCACAGACCGTGCAGGATAGGAGTCTTGAAGCCACCGACCTTGCTGAACTCAGGGTCAATGTGAAGAGGGTTGCGGTCGCCGTTGAGACGGTAGAGGGCAGCCTGATCCTCGGAGGTCTTCTCCTCGACAACAGCATCCGGCTTGCGCTGAGGAGTCTTGTACGCCGCGGTGGCTCCCTTGGGGCGGGCAGCGGTGGGCTTGGGGGATCCGCCGAAGCCGCCACTGCCACGGATGAAAACGGTGGACTCGTTGTAGAAGAGGTCCTCTCCAGTCTTCGCGTCCTTGGTGGTGAAACCGGCAACGACGAGAGCAGCGGCACCCTTGTCAACGACGTCAATGAGCTTGGGGAAGGTCAGGGTCTTGGCCTCGGTGGGGATGGGGAATTTGCGGATCTCCATGTACTGTTCACCGTGCAGCAGCATCATGGGGGAGAAGTTCTTCACAATGTCGTCCATGTTGTAAGGCACGGTGGTGTTGAACCAAGGGATCACACCGAAGGTGGGAATGGCCTGGAAGTGCTCATTGTTCTCGTACACGAAAGGCAGGTCGGTGCGCTTAGCACCCAGGCTGAGGTTGTAGAGAATGACATCCCGGTCGGAGTACTCAAAAGCAGTGCCGTCGGTGGTCGCCTGCTTGGCCTTCTCAATGTTGGCCAAGATGTCGTTGCCACCCTCGGAGGCATCACTGCGGTTGCCCATGTTGGCCATGACCTTCTCAGAACCAGCCTGGCTGTCCTCGGGGTGGTCCGCGCGGCCGTCGTCGAAGTTGGTGATCTTGTTCCAGTTCTTCACAACCTCCTCGGGGGTCAACTTGACGTCCACAGGGAAACCGTGACCACCAGAGCGCTGCCAGCGAGTGTTAGAGAACCAGCCGCTGCCGCACTCGTACAGACCCTTGGTACCGGTTCCAGGGACAAGGTCCGAGGAAAGAAGAACCACGAGAGGAGCAACGTAGTCAGGCTTGAAGGCCTGGACCATCTCCTCGGGCATGATAGTACGGGTCATGTTGGTACCGGCGTTAGGAGCGATGGTGTTGACCTTGATGTTGTACTTGGCGCCCTCGATGGCGAGGGTACGGGAGAAACCGAGGATGCCAAGCTTCGCCGCGGCGTAGTTGGCCTGGCCGAAGTTACCGTAGATACCGCTGGTGCTTGCAGTGTTGACGATACGGCCATACTTCTGCTTAAGCATGTAAGGCCAGGCGGCCTGGGTAACCTTGTAGGTACCACGGAGGTGGACATTGATAACAGGGTTCCACAGGTCGTCGTTCATGTTGGTGAAGGCCTTGTCACGCAGGATACCGGCGTTGTTGATCAGAATATCAATACGTCCGAAAGCATCGATGGCAGTCTTAACAACGGCGGCGCCATCTTCGCAGGAAGCCTTGTTACCGACAGCCTTTCCACCCATCTTCTTAATTTCCTGCACAACAGGCTCAGGGTCGACCAGATCGTTCACCACCACAGAGGCGCCATACTTGGCAAAGAGCAGACAGTACGCGCGTCCGAGACTATAAAGAGTTAGAGACAGTAATCTTCAAGCAATGTTCTGAAACACATACCCGTTACCACCACCAGTGACAAGAGCAACCTTGCCCTTGAAGTCAGGCTCCTCGCCAGACGGGGCGCTGGGGGTCTTCAGGCCCTGCTCCAAGAGGGTCATGAAGTCAGCCGGGCCAGTAGGGTACTCGGGCTGAGAGAAGTCGTTGACATCGTTCCACTTCCTAGCGATAGCACCGGGGGTCAAGGAGTCGTCGGTCTTGAGCAGAGCACCCTTGGCACGCTCCCAGCGCAGCTTGGCAGCGTGGCCACCACCGACTTCGTAGATTCCACCGGTCTCGGTTGTGTTAGAGGGGTGCACCAAAGCGGCCACCAAGGGAACAACCCATTCGGGCTTGAGAAGGTCCAGAACATCCTGGGGCATAATGGTGGCAGTCATGCGGCTAGCGGCTGTTCCAAGTCAGTATTCGGTACAATAAATGATTGGGATTCTTTGCATACCGATAGGTGCAATGACGTTGGCAATGATGTTGTACTTGGCGCCCTCCTTGGCGAGGGTCTCGGTGAAACCGACCTGACCGAGCTTCGCGGCTAAATGTACTGTCAGGTTCTTGATCTATGAATAGTCTGTATTCAGAGGCACCTACCAGAGTAGTTGGCCTGGCCAAAGTTACCGAAGAGGCCAGCAGCCGAGGCAGTGTTAATGACACGGCCGTACTTCTGTTTCCGGAAATGAGGCCATGCGGCTCTTGCGCACTTGTATGCACCATAGGTGTGAACTTTGGTGATAAGGTCCCAGTCCTGGTCCTTCATGTTCTTAAAGCTGACATCCCGGAGAATACCGGCGTTGTTAATGAGGACATCAACGCGGCCGAAGTTCTTGATGGCGGTATCAATAATAGCTTCGCCGTTCTCAACGCTGTCGTAGTTGGCGACTGCCTTGCCTCCAGCAGCGCGGATCTCCTCGACGACCACATCAGCAGCCTATAGTCGAGAGTCCATGTTAGTAACCGTATTCCAGAACCTGCATGTGACCATAATTCGGCTCGTACCTTTGACGACTGGCCTTCACCAGAGTGAGAACCACCCAAGTCGTTCACAACGACGTTTGCGCCCCTCGAGGCAAAGAAGGTAGCATAGGCCTTACCGAGACCACCGCCGGCTCCCGTCACAACGACGGTTTGGTTGTCGAAGCGCAGCTCAGACATCTTGTACGGGTATAATTACAACAAAAAGGAAAGGGAAAATCAAAGCACAGAGAATGTAATGACGTGGTGCCTCCGCACAGAATGTTTCAGTAGTATTGAGGAGGAAGGGAGAAGAGGGGAGGAGAGGAGGATAGACAAAGTATTCAAAGTTCAAGGAAGACTTAGGGAGGTCAGTGGTAAGTTTAAGTATGAGGGGAAAGTCTGGGGGAGAACAGAGTTGAAGAAGCCTTTAGATCTGGGGGAGTAAATGGACGGTCGCGGTGCTCGGCAAGGACGCTATGAATTTGGAACCTCGGCATCTTTGTGGTTGCTTTGAAGCTCGGAGGTTCCCACACACCAAGCGGATCTAGGCAGATGATCCCTCCTTCACATGCCGATATAGCTCTCCTGGATCGAGAACCCCATATTTCGTCGCGTATTTCGGCGTTCCTTAGGCATAGATGGTGTATATTAGAGATCTATCCTCATTAGATGCATAATCTCGCTGCCGTGCACCTCTGTCAAGCACTCCAGCATGGAAATTTCCCATGTCTGGCTGCCGACGCTAACACTATGTATCCGCATTATTATGTAATCTATACGACCACCTCGATTTATACACAGGCTAACCCAATTAGGTAATCGATTACCTTGCTGACTCAGACATGTGATTCGACGTCATCATCACGTGTCGGTCCTGAGACGGTCAAAATGTTCAGTAATCGAAAAGGCAAGAGATTTAAATACTACAGTCCCCCCTGTGACAAGATTCCGTGTCCAAAATCCCTTTCGCCGTTGAAAGACCACCACAATGATCAGGCCCATGGTTAATCTCTCAGGCACAACATTTGTCCCCCACCGCCCGGACATTCGAATCTCCAGGTTCTCCGCTTCGGCGCACCTCCGACATAGCAACTTTTCTTCTTAGTCCGCCATATAAAACATAATCACCCTGAACAAACGTAGCCGTAGCAAGGGAAAAAAAACACGAAGACAAAAAAGCCAACACAGTAAAGACCAAAATAAACCACCAAAATGCCCGAAATCATCGACGACAAATCCCAACACTGCATCCCGTTCCTGCTGGAGCGATTAAAAGCCCACCAAGAGCGGTTCGGAAACGACCCGGCCAGAACCCCACCATTCTTTCTGGGGTTGAATGGCGTCCAGGGGGCCGGGAAGACGGTGCTGGTATGAATTGATGCGAGGAATCTAGTCTCTGCTGGTTGAACTACGTCGAAATAGCTGTCTGACGGTTCTATTGCAAAATTATAAGGTGTCCACCCTACAATCGACTCTCCGCTCCCCGCCGTACTCCCTCCCCGTTATCACGCTCTCGCTTGACGATCTATACCTCACCCATGAGGAACAGATCAATCTCGCCAAGTCGCACCCTGCAAATCCGCTACTGCAGCATCGCGGGCAACCAGGTACACATGATCTGCCATTAGCCAAGGAGGTCTTTGAATCCCTCCGCGCGGGCCGAGCCACGGCTATTCCGCAGTATGATAAATCTGCGTATGCGGGGCAGGGTGATCGCGTACCCGAGTCGCAATGGGAGACCGTTAATGGCGAGGAGCAGGATAAGATAAAGGTAGTCATATTCGAAGGCTGGTGTGTTGGTTTCCGCGCTGTGGATGATCAGCTCCTGCGCGAGAGGTGGGATGATGCTGTTAGGCGGAAAGAGAAGGGTGACTATGATGGACGGTTGGGATATGTGCCATTTGAGGCTGTCAAGGCTGTTAATGATGCGCTGAAGGAATATGATCTGATCACAGAGTGAGTTTAGGCCCTCCTGCCTTGTTGGATGCGACTGAAGTAGGAGGTATAACGGCTAACGGACAATCTACTACAGTCAGTTGGATGCTTTGATCCACATGTAAGGTTTCCCAGCCTGCTGGTTTTACCATTTGCTTCGATATCCATTTGTGGAATCTAACGTGATCTGCAGTGATGCCCAAGACTCACACTTTGTCTATGACTGGCGACAGGAACAAGAACGAACGCTTCTTGCTGCCAAAGGAACGGGCATGACCCCGGAACAGGTCACGCACTTTGTCAATGGCTGTATGCTACCCCGTTCCTTTTTTTCTCTATTTGCGAAATGATGCATGAAAAGAGTGCCATGCTAACAAAAGCAGACTACCCCTCATATGAGCTCTTCACCGAAGGCCTTCGAGCAGGTACCTTCAGGCCTGTTCCACATACAACAGCCGCATCTAGACCTTCTACCGGCTGGGAGGACAGACAGCTTCATTTGATCGTCGACAAGAATCGAAAGGTCCAAGAAGTCCGCAAGATATAGGTCGGACTTTTCGGATTCAAGTCACATAGATATCAGCCCAAATGAATCGTCGAATCTAATCGACAGGTAATACCATTATTCCAAAGAGTCATTGTTCCAAAGATATTTACTGCAATACCAATTCAGCTGAATATATTAGCCAAACATATTCTACCGTCTGTCTGTGCAGATTCCCAACCACATATACAATGAATATGGATAGACATGGCCAGAAAGTAGCTCAACCATCTGACTGGCCACGGCCATCAACATTAGATGTCGTCACACGTAGATCTAGATCTATACCAACGCCAATTGGAAAACCAAACGCCGATGCCAACCTTAATGATAGTTGAGTGGAGAGTGGATAACAAAGAGATTAAGGGCGATAAAGAGTTAAACGCGCAAAAAAGGCAGAGAAGAGGCAGCAGGGGGAGAAATCACTTCTCCGCCCGTTCTAGATATTGCATCATAGCAGATCTTAGCCGCACATTAGCCACACCTCCTACACCGTAGGCGGGCACGATCTTCCCCATCCGAGCAAAACAGCTGGGGATATAATCCCGACGAATACGTGATACTCGCTCACGCCATCCCAACCCTCCGGGCGGTTGCCGGTTATAAAGATCCAGGCCCAGCAGGTGCATGGGTGTGCTGGCGAATTGCATGAGGGCCGGACAGGAGAATTGAGCTATCGCTGCCTTCATCCCGGGTGTAGATGCAATATAATCGGGGATCGATGGCGCTATTAGCGTGGGGACGTTGAAGGAAGCGAAGATGGTGATGCTGTCGCGGAGACAGAAGAGGGCATATGAGACCTTGGGTACTGTGGCAGCGCCGGAGGGGTGACAGGAGGCCGGGGGAGAGGCTGTGTGCGCAGGTGTGGATGACGGAGATGGTGTAGGTTTGGACTGTGCGCCAAATATCCGCGCGAACCTGGCATCCTTGTATACACAGATTCCCATGTTCACTGTTGTCGTGGCGAGGAACTTGGCCGTTCCGGCAAATACGGAGGAAAACGGTTCATTGCGCATGGTCGACGAAATCGTGTCAATGGCATTGGCGGTCAGATATGTCGATGTGTAGAGTGTATATATAAGGAGAAACGGTGTACTGAGGAAGAAGCCCGCTGGATGACGAATCATAGACCCGAAACATGATGTGATCGTCTGTCGAATGGGAATGCCTTTGGATGCTTTCTCGATGATCGCACTATCAAGCAGCTGATGTCAGACTTTTGCAGCGAAGGACCAGCGAGATTGCACGCCTACCGATCGATAACAGTAATAACGGGGCACGTCAAAGCGCCTGCTGTGGCAGCGCTGGCGATATCCACGCCCAGTCGCGAACCTAATCGGCTGGTATTCCAAGTGGATGTTGGCCGCTCAGTGACAGCCTGCATGGAGAGAGCCCCATTAGGGGAGATCGCATTTCCCGGCATACTCTTGAATGGCGCCGAACGACAGTAGACTCAAAATATAGCAAAAATGAGTCAACGATAAAAGCTCAACGAAGGGACGCGACGCTGACAAGAGACGTCATGTAAACACCAACAGGGCACCTGTCGCGTAGGGGAAAGAAGGCTCAACAGAAGAAATCAGGGTAACCAAAATTACAAAGACATCCTGCCGAAGCAGAAACGAATGGAGATGACATCTCAATTTCCGAGCGTAGGGGGAAACGCAATATGCTGACTCGCTGACTATCATCGCGGACGAGAATGGACCGGCCGATAAAGGCCTTACCGGTGACTCGGAAACCCTCCGGTGCCGGCCGAGCGATCCCCCGGCAAATGTTCCCCAGGACACGGATATACGTTTATAGCTGCCACCCGGTTTTTCTGACCAAAACTTTTTACCGCAGAATTGCCATGGGAACCAGATTCGGGTAATCACATATAGATACTGTTTATTTTATAGAGCATCTTTATGCAGTTTGTACAAGAAAACTTTAGCAAAAATAGCAGAGGCTCCGAACGCCGCATCAATGTACCACCCGAGATATGCCCACGCATTTATTTTTCCACCATGAGAACCCAAAAACACATGCAGGTACATTATGTATACGTAAATCAATTGTTGGTCGTGTTCGCTTGGAAATCATCCAAGGTCAGGTTGACGGCTCCAGCTTGTACCAGCTAAAGAAATGGATTAGACCAAAAGTTATCAACAGGGTATTGAGAGCGACAAACTTACCGCCCTTGTCAGATCGTCAATCAGATCATCTGCATCTTCAATACCAACGCACAGACGGATAAGATCCTCCGGCATGGCGCGCTCCTGGCGCGTCTTCGCATCAATACTAGCATGACTCATCCGGCAAGGCATGCTGATCAAACTGTTCACGCAGCCGAAGCTAACGCTGATAGCCCATAGCTTGGCACTCTCAACGATACGCTCACTCACACCGACATCTCCCGTCTCGAATGAGAGCACAGCTCCAGCTCCACGAGCCATCGAGTGGTGGAGGTCATATTGAGGGTGCGACCGCAACCCAGGGTATCGGACCTTGAACCCATGGGACTCGAGGAATTCCGCAATACGTTGTGCGTTTGCTTGCTGCTGGTCCATGCGTACCTTGAGGGTCTTCACTCCACGCATCAACAGCCAAGAATCGAACGGAGACAAACCGCAACCAGAGGCATTGATGGGGAAGTACAATCGCTCGCCGAGAGCCAAGTCATTGACAGCGATCACCCCAGCCATGAGATCATGGTGACCCGACAAGTACTTGGTTCCACTTTCATAGACAATGTCTGCTCCCAGTTCGAGAGGGTTAAGCAACATCGGAGACATCATGGTGTTATCAACAGCCACAAGGCAGGTAGAGTTCACTTCATGTGCGGCGGTAGCGATCTGGGGGATATCGACAACCTTAATGAGAGGGTTGGTAGGGGTTTCGAGCAGGACCATGGCTGTCTTCTCGTTCAGCACTTCCCGCACCTTCTCCGGCTGAGTGGTGTCAACATGATGGACGATGATACCACCATTGGTCGACAAGTATTTAAGCAGACGGTGGGTTCCACCGTAAAGATCATCGCCGGTCACGACTTCATCACCAGGACGAAGCAACCGAGTGATAACATCCAATGCAGCCATGCCGGAGGAAACCACCAGAGCACGCTGAGCGGACATGACCTTAGCTAGATGACGTTCAAGGTGCGTTCTAGTCGGATTGCCGGAGCGGGTATAATCATACTCTCCGCCTCCACCACCGGATGTCTGTTTGAAAGTAGCGCTCTACAGCAATAATTGTTAGCACTATTGGTACATCCATAGCTTTGTCTCAATAGTAGGGTGTTTTCGAGGGCGACGAAGATGGTACCTGGTAGATGGGAACGCTGCTAGCGTTGTACTGGTCACCACTGTCGGTGTAGACGAGTTCTGTGGCAATTGCATAGCGCCTTCCGGTATGAGGACTGGAAGGAGCTGGTGACGGCGGAAGATTGTGACCCTCAAGATCTACGCTAGGGAACGCCTTTTTGGCTGGATTTGCTGAGGATGAAGCCGCGGGCGCGGCACCGGATCCTGAAGCCGACATCGCTGCGGGGATGAGCGGAGAGAGGGGGGCAAGGACGGAGAGAAGGATAGAGCACTGAAGAAGCGAGAGAAGCCAATACCCGGAAGATAGTAGGGTATAGGAAGAGAAAATGAATCACAAAACGATTGCCAAATCAATGGAAGGATGAAAGGGAGGAGAAGAAGGATAATATTTATTGTTCCCCGGAAGAGTCATTTGAGAATCGCCCCGTCCTTCATTCTATCTTACCCGATACGGTAAGGATGGCCTCCCCACTCCTGCTTGTTCATTGGCTAGTCCACGTAAGTGTCGATTTCGTCATTCGCCGCCTGAGGCAGAAATGGACAGTCTTTATGTACTATCCTTCGATTTAGATCTCTATGTATGTACAGGGGCTCCCCTCGAGCCCATCCAAATCCTCTTCAGATACAACTATTCAGCGAAAAACAGGGAACCGACATCAATATCACACAAACTCCATCTGTACGCCAGACACGAAACTGTCCCAGGAGTGACTCTTCCTTATCCTACCAAGGCATATGCCATGTAGCGATCATCCGCATGTCTGTCGTTAGGTCGTTGTACAGCACGACAGCTACAAGCGACTTTACCGCAAATTCATAGGCATATGACTTCCATAGCCTCATCGCATATCCATTTGGTATGTCCATCAGAGATTCTTTCGTCACTGTCCCGCCAATGAGACAGGTCATCAAACAAGAGAGGCTCGAATAAATGCAGTGGCCTCTGTAAAGCAGAAAAGAGATATTATACACTTGTCATGATGAAGGGTCGTCATTGCATATACATTCCATATTCACGCTCAAGTTGACAGGTCGCCGAAGCTACCATTAATGCCGAAAAATTGGAACCTAGGAAACAAAGAGCCGTCAGTACGAGGAGAATCCAGATGCATCCTACTTAACATACCAATCTTCCACGTTCAAAGTCGTCGGTGCGGTTGGCCCACTTCGGGAGCTATTACTCCAGGTGTCATCCTGGCTAGCAGCCTCCACCCCGGTATGTAGAGCTGCTTCTAAACCTGCCATTGGCCAAGGCTGCTGATTCTCCATTCCGAACACCTGTGGTGGTTGCTGACCTTGCATACCCATCCCGGGAGGCATGTTCGAAATGAGCTCCGGGCTTCCCTGTGTTCCGGGAAGACCTCGGGAGGACATCTGATGAGGCATGATATGTCGCTGATCCATGCCTTGCGTCTGTAGCTGAGACGGCATCTGCAATTGGGGATCGACGGCATTGTGCTGCGGGGAAGTTAACTCAGGGAAGATGGTAGTGCCATCAGGGAACAGCTGGTCGGGCTGGAAGTTTTCCCAAAGCGAAGGCGAAAGGTTGGGTGAAGTACGCGTAACCAGGAACAGGTCGGGTGGCGTTGCAGGGAGGGAAAATTGAGCATTGAATGGAGTTGTCGGCCGCGTATTGCCTCGAGAGTTGCCTGCGGGAGGACCAGTAGGAGAGCCTTGGGGAACGTTCAATCCGGGTTGTCCCATTTCTCTTGAGGGAGTCACTGCAGGCGTCTGAGGCCGCGAGCGCTCATATGAGACTGGTGGTGTGGGACCCCCATTTGGCAACCCGAGGTCCATATCGTCGAATTTCCGCTTTGGCGGATCAGGCTTCCTTGTGGACTGATGTTGGGCCTGGTCGTGTCTTATCCTCTGATGCCTTTTGCCTGCCGCTTTCTGGAGACGCTCCTCGAGGACTTTGTTTCCTAGAATGGATTCGAATAGAGTACGGACCATCTTAGCCACAAGCCACACTTTGGAGACATCTTTCAGAGCCTGCATGCATATGTTGATTCTCTCCTGGCATGTTGCCACAACTGTTGGCACAGATGACCGCATTTGATAAACGTGCATGATCAGGGCCGAGAACAAGCTGTAGACACTGCGACACTGTGAGTGCTTAGTGCGAAAAACGGACATACTATCGAACTTACATGAAGGCTGGTGTATATCGAATCTCCTGATGTGTCTGCAAGTTTTCCACGATAGAAGTGATCATTCCGGCAGCCTGGAATGCGATTGTGCGCGAGGGGTAGGCCATCTCCTCTACGCGGTAACTATTTGGGGCAGAAGAAGCTGGCGGCATGTGCGCCCTATGCAAAAGACAAAGGGTAGTGCTTTTCTCTGCATTAGTCCTGTGTATAGAGTAAGGAGGGATAGTAAAACTTACTAGTAGTTCGCATGGAGAAGGGCAGCCCAGAAGTGATGATTCTGTCGTTGCCAGCACACCTCTTTGGGGCAATTCTGGAGCCAATCTGCCAACGCCATATCCGAATGTGTCAGATCCATAGCATTCATGCGTCTCGACTTCGAAGCCACAGAGTACTGCTGCGCAAGTACCAAGCCCATGATCTCGCAGAGCTTGACATATTGCAGGAAGAACTGTACATGCACGGGGTCCGGCGGGTGCTCGGCTGCTATGTCAACCTCGTCCTCGATGAAATCGTCCTCGGTTAACATGCCAACGTCCGAGTCATCTGTGTTAATACCGATTGGGCGCCCCAAGGCCACTGCTACGGATCGGTCCCTTGTGAAGAGAGTCCACCAAATTCGCTTCCAGAGTCTTTTATCCGGCTTGCTCAGTTGGGATGATTCAACGCTGTGAATATTAGATGGTTGTCCATAATGTTTCCGCAATGAGGGCAACAACATACCTTCGGTGCATACCCGACCCTTGCGCTACAACCATAGCCACTCTCGTCCAGTAAAAGACGTTTTTAGTAACGTCCTCCGGGCCCTCCCAGTACCAGCCCAGAAGTACCAAGGCCTGGACGATAGTGACACGGTCATCTTCGTAATTAGCGTCGTAGAGGGCTTTTGCCCGCTTGTAAAATGTCATAGCTGCTGGGGTTGTCGAACCATTGGCATCCATCAACTGAGGGTTTGTACACACCCTGGACCCAGCGAGAAGTATAGCCTGAAGGAGGAGTAAGGAAGGTGGGTTCTTGGGGTCGCGGTAGTGTCGCATGAAACGGCTGCGGTTAACAATGGGTACTACGGGGGCGACCCATTTGAAGTAGGCATCGACTAGTTCATCACAAAGAGGCTTTGGCGGTAGAAGAAAGGCACCACGCTGGTGAAGGATATCCAGTTCCAGGTTATCCAGATCCGCCAATCTAGCACGAGAGCCGCGAACATTGGGCGGAAGGGGATAATGTACAACGTCTGTCGTTCCATGGCGGTCCTGCACCAGGAGCGAAAGATTCGAGGACTCGCCAAGGTAAGCGACCCGGCCAGCTTCTTTGATCGGGGCACGCGCAAACTTTGGTTTCATGAACTGAGCATATGCTCCATTTTGGGTGGCTTGCTGAGCGGCCTGCGACTCGGTGAGTGATGTAACAGGCATACCGTCGACAGCCATTCGATTACTCGAGTAACCGAAAGCATCCTTGCCATCCGTCGTCGGCTGCTCCTCCTTGGGTGTTTCTTTCTGGGGGTTCTCTTCGCTACTACACATTTCGATGGCGAATCAGTAGATGTTGGGATGAAGTGGACAGCGAATCGATATATGAGGTATTTGAAAACATACCCGGAGCTCTCCCTAACTTTTGTTTGGTTCTTCTTGCGTTTCGGCGTGGGGATCTTGCACTCGATCGAAAAGGCCACACAGTTGGTGCATGGCACACCTAGACTGGCAGCATCGCAGCGTACCTGTGGGCAAATGACGCGATTAGCGATCTCCTTTTCTGCAGAGACCTAGCATGGCGGGCGGGTGACACCGGAAGGAATGGGAGCCAAAAAGGAGATCAAATCAGTCTGGACCAGGGGGACTTACTTTTCGAGCATGGCATGTCTTCACGAGATAACACAAAAGTACGTTAGCAAACAAGATGCTCAAATAAAACCATTATCGTGGTTGCGTTATGCTACCGTCACCAGGATTGCCTGATAGATAGGTAGATAGCATGATAGGGGGGCTGCAACGCAGAGCTGCGATGTGCCGAGGTGCCGAGGCTTTCACAGGTCGCGTCGACCTCATAAGAACAAAGAGACATACCTCACAAGCACGCGACGCACGTTGTCTATTCAAACAGCGATTAGATAAATCTGATTAGCATCCATCTGTACTCCTTTAAAATCTCGACCGTTCCCATTCACCCAGGGACCCTTTCCAACTCCAACTTTGGTGATCTGCGACCATCCCCTCGTGCGCTGCAGCCCCGCGACAGCGCAGAAACCCACACTTGGTGAACCACCCCAGGGCAAGGAAATATCATCTCACACACCTTCTGAAACTCATCTGTCCGTTTGGGCCGGCTCGCACTGTAATACCTGAAGTTCCCGTTGAGCCTGTGGCGCTCGGGGCCGGGCTTGGTCTGGAAGTAGAATCTGTGTGGTTTTCTCCTGTTGTGCTCATGGCCAAAAAGTATCCATGCAGAGAAAACGCGACCGAAAGAACGCTCGGAGCGACGAGGGCGATAATATAGGGATTGAGGATATAGCCAAGGTTATAGAAAATATAAATAATGTAATAAATCCAGAATAGGCCAGGTGAAAAGAAAAGAAGAAAATTACAAGGAACCCGAAAGACGTGCCTCGACCACGCTTGTTGTCCCCTCTGGTTCTCTTTTTTT